TTAAAGATACTTTCATGTTGACTTTTACTAGTACAACTCAGACAAAAGGGGCACCAAGGCTAATACCAGTTGAATTCTCAGGGCCTTTAGGAAAGATTTTATTTTTAAAATATTTTATTTATTTATTCATGAGAGACACAGATAGAGAGAGGCAGAGACACAGGCTGAGGGAGAAGCAGGCTCCATGCAGGGAGCCCGATGCGGGACTTGATCCCGGGACTCCAGGGTCATGTCCTGGGCCAAAGGCAGGTGCCAAACCGGTGAGCCACCCAGGGATCCCCCAGGAAAGATTTATACTCTCCACAGAGTTTGAGCACTTACCTCTGTTTTTCCCTTTCCTATTCATTATTCAGTTGCCTTCCCTCAGGTCAGAAAAACTCTCATTTCATCCAGGACTGGCTCATCAGTGTCTCCTCTTTGGTGCTTTCCCCTGACGGGTGATGTACAGATACACATAGATACCCACAGCTCTCCCACTGCTTCTTTCACAGGTCCTTTCAGAATGGTTATGTGCCTCCCACCAGAGCCCACTCCTACTGTAGCATTTATAAGTTCTAGCAGTGTGAGACATTACTCATTTTTTAGTCAAATGTGAAAGAGAAAGACATATGAATGGCAAGACGCAACAGATCCTTAATGTGCTAGATAAGGCTAAATTACTACATTATGCCATAGGACCACAAACCTTCCAAGTGATGTTTCTGCACATGACTGCCTCACTATTCATTAAAATACTGTAGCAAGCAGGGGCACCCGGGCGGCTCAGTTGGTTAAGCGTCCGGCTTTTGATTTCAGCTCAGGTCATGAGTTTGAGCCCTGTGCTGTTGGGCTCATGCTCAGAGGGGAGTCTGCTTGAGATTCTCTCTCCTCTCTCTCTGCCTCTCACTCCCAGTAAATAAGTAAATAAATCTTAAAGAAAACATATTATAGCAAGCAGCCTCACAACTAAGAGATAATGCAATTGACGCAAAGTCAAAGATTGTCTTTTAATCTTCAAGTTCCTACTTCCCTCATTTTTCTTAGTGTTCACTGCTTGTATCTTCTGAGAGCAAACTGTAAAAGCCAGCAGAAAATTATATTTATTCACATATTTCCCCACATTAACTGATCCCTAAAGTGAATGTGAAATGAAGAAAATATATGTGTAAACCTGTAGGTTACAGAGGAGAAAGCAGGGAGGAGTATTCCCTCTGCAAACCTACCCCACCTGCACTTGCTGCCAGTACAGGAAGGCTGCTAAGCGTAGCAGGGGGTGCAGGTCAAGAACAGGTGAGAAGGGGCGACTGCAGGCTTTCTTGTCAATCACACATGCTTCAAATGAAAAGATTAGGAGAGAAAAGTCTAATAAATATACAAACGTCACTTTTCACATCTTAGCAAACTACCTTCTTTCCTCTGTTTCTCATAAACATATCAATCTATGAGGCGTACCCATTTAAAATAATATTTGAGGGACGCCTGGATGGCTCAGCAGTTGAGCATCTGCCTTCAGCTCAGGGCATGATCCCAGAGTCCTGGGATCAAGTCCCATATTGGGCTCCCATTGAGCAGCCTGCCTCTCCTTCTGCCTGTGTGTCTCTGCCTCTCTCTCTGTCTCTCTTGAATAAATAAATAAAATCTTAAAAAAAATAATATTTGAGTCTGAACAGGGAAGAACCTGGAAAGAAAGAAGTAATTGTCCTTTGAAGCTGTGTAACTGACAAATGTATTTGGTAAACAGGAGACTCCGAGAAAATGAAAATAAGGAGTCATGAGATTTTTGCTTAGTTTTCCCTTTCCTCAAATTTAGAATGGAAATGGGGTGGGGGGACAAGGAAGTATGCAGTTAAATACAGCATAGATTATTTCACAAGTGTATAGCTTGTAAATTATGCTGTTACCAGCTGCTCAGGGACTGTGATCTTTAGACATCCATCAGAACAGTGAAAAGGAAAAAAAAAAATCCATGTTAGAGGAGCAGATAAGCATGTAAGTCCCAGAAGAAACCACACGTGTTAGGTACATGCAGGAGAAAACAACTGGCCTTCCTGAAGAACAGGTTTGCCCACAACTTTAAAAAACAAACTTCCAGGGATCCCTGGGTGGCTCAGCAGTTTAGCGCCTGCCTTCAGCTCAGGGCGTGATCCTCGAGTCCTGGGATCGAGTACCATATCGGGCTCCCTGCATGGAGCCTACTTCTTCCTCTGCCCGTGTCTCTGCCTCTCTCTCTATCTCTCATGAATAAATAAATAAAATCTTTAAAAAACAAAAAACAAAAAAAGACTTCCCTCTTATATATACAAATCATACTATCTTCTTTCCTAATGAGTATTATCTTGAACAAAAAATAATTTTTGAGGTAAGAAAGATAGAAACCAGAGGATTTCATTCACATCCGTACAGAAATATTTACTTCATAAGACAAAAAACTCGAGATCACGGTACACAGCAGTTATTTATTTAAATACTCGAAAAGGTTGATGATGGAAAAAAATAGGTTTATCATGAGAGTTTATAGTCATTTGATTTATTTTACTATTTAAAAAAGTGCTGCCTCCGGGTTATCCTAGCCAGATATAGAACACTTTATGACACATGCAGCTACAGTAACACACTATAATAGACACGGCCGTCATAGAATGATGTACACTGGGGGAGGAAATTCAATAGTAGTAATGGTGACTGTTTATTTAAACTAAAAACATTGATAATATACAAATCTTTTTTCTCATTTGATTGAAAGGGCTATAAAATCCACATACAGACAAAGGAAGCAACATAATCATTTAGGTAACGCCCCAGCTACCTGCCTTTAACTCACTCCTTCCTTAAAGAACCACTTCACTCAGCTATGCAACTTCCTAGACTGCACAACAGCTTCAAGGCTGGCCTACGACGAGTGACTGAAAGAGAGGTGTGAGCTGACCCTGACTCATCGGTTTTTAAAAACGGAGAGAAAATGGCAAATTGTGTCTCATGTTCTTTAAAGAACCCAAAGGATCATTCTGAGTAAAATGTGAAATAAATAACTGATTCATGAGTAAATACAATCTCTGAGCTGACTTAGACCTAGGAGAGTGAGCCAACCGAACACTAACAATACCGTGTAGAAACATCATTTCTAGAATTCAGTTTGGGAGACCATATCTTGCCTGAATATGTACATTATTTACAAAATATTCCCTTTTGGCCTCTGAGATTTAGCCATTTTAGTTTGGCTGATAAGCTCTTTCTTTCCATATGCTAGCCAATACTGCAGTTATAACTATCATTAAAATACTCTTATGCATGAATTACAAATATTAATAAAGTAACTCTGCATGTATAAATATCTCAATATTTCTAGCAGAATTTAAAGCATACATAAATACATAAAAGTATTTGTTTTTGGTAGGGCCAGTATTTTTTTTTTTTAATCATCGCTGTTTCAACAATGCTTTGTACATAGCAAAACCCAAAACTGCAAAAACAGTAGCACCAAAACTTGCTCGAAGCCAAAACGTGGAGCTCTTGAGGTCAGCTTGTGTCACGTGCCTGTAGTCAGAAAATATAATTAATGTTTGAAACATGATTAGTATGAAAAAATGACAATTACATTAATAGTCTACTTTTAGGGAAGTATTAGCACACTTGTCAGGCTAATTGCATACAATAACGCTTACCAAAAACATTTATCAATATAGCCACATGTACATTGCTTAGATAATCATTATCTTAAGACATAATGTAGGCATTAATAAAGATGAATGTCTTTACAATTAGCTACTACTTGGGAGATAACAGCTCTAAAATTTTAGACATTTTCTTCACATGGAATGTAGAGAATGTAGACAAATCAACCTACTACTTTTTAATCCCACCACAGTCCTTCAACATGAGAGGTGAAACTGAGATCTCACAATTCTGAGAGTTAATTTCATGGAATTTAATATGCGATCTCTTGTCCCCAGGGATTGAAAGCTACCTTGTAAGCAGTTAGGTGACAAGTGACCATACTTTTCTAAGAGCAATGCTTAAAGTCAACTTTGGAAACACTGATCCCCTTAAAAATTTACCAAAAAAAATTTTTAAATCCCAAAGGGGATGGGGAAAATTTACCAGTTTGCATTAATTGGGTTACTGATGATTAAAGAAATAATATTAAAAACAAAACAAAAACCAACCCTGGTATTAGTCAGACAGGCAGTGACAATGGTACCAACTAAAGGACATAATGTAACATGATGGACCGAAAGGTAAATGACAGAAAAGAAGCCATACAATGTATGACAAGAACAGGGACAGCCTGTACCACAAACTGAGTTTGTGAGCATGCTCAGTTAATGACACTGCTAAGCACCCTCAAGAGTCTCAAGTATGACAGCTTACCATAGAGAGGATAACAGTTTAAAGCAAAAGTTGGAATATTTTATTTAAGTGTCCCTGAAGTTTTAGTTAAAGGAACATAATTGAGGAAATGTAGAAAACTTACAGAATTAAGAGCTTAAGGAGACTTTCTAGTTCAGGTTATTTTGCAACTAAAAAACACACAGATCTGAAGCAAAAGTCAGACATCATTAAAAGACCAAGATGCTGACATATGCAAAAGAGTTAAGAGCCAAGAACATCAATTGTAAGCAATGACTTTGCCTCAGTAATAGTCAAAGAGTGATGATCAGATTAGTTATCACAAAATGCAATCTGCACATCCTAGAAACAAGTCTATAATACAAGCCAGAGTGCTCCATGCTTATCACCATGGCAAAACAACACACAGCGCTCCAATATCTTATTCTCCCCAGTTCCTAAAAAAAATAAAAAATAAAAAAATCACTCCTGATGTAAGTATTATTTTATAAAGCGAAGTGATAAAAACACAGGTCCATTCCACCTTGTGAGTTAGTTCCTCCAACAGGCAATGTTTTATTTATTTATTTATTTAAAGTTAGGGAAGAAAATTCTTAGGTTTCGGTTTTTCCAGCTGGAAAAACTCAAAGGCCAACCCACTGGTTGTGGGAAATGTTACCTGGCTTCAAGAAAAAGTGGACCATGAGATGACTCCATGAAGATGGAATCTTCTACAGAGCTGACGGCGTGCACCTGGTGGGTAATACTGCTTTCATCGTCTGCTAACAGCATGGCACCCCACTCAGCTACCCGGGCTCTTAACCTTTTATACACATGCACACAGTTTGCAGTTCACAGCAGAGCTCACAAAAGAAGGGGACTGAAAATAACATCTCTCAATTAAACATCCCACACATAAATTGAGTTGCCACCCTAATATGATGCATCTCATGCTTTCTATATTTAAAATAAATGTATTCTGTAACAAACTGCCAAACTTCAAAAAAAAAAAATCTATGTGTACTTTTTAAAAACACTCCCATACCAGACAAGAAAACCTACGGCTGTTATAGACATTCTCTACATATCCCTTAGAGGCTAGTCCTGGTGGATCTGACACACTAAATGAAGCCCTTGAAACCAGTACCTAAGCAGTACCTCACAGTATGTGGTGACCACAAGTTTTCATTAAAAATGAAGCTAACAACTATTAGTTATGACATTTATTGATGCTTCTAATTGCAGACTACCAATAACTGCAAACATATATCTATAAAAAAATTGAGCCCAATGCCCCAAACTCAGGGACTATCATAGATCTATGATGAGAGTTTCAAAGTTTAGAACTCCAAATCAATAAAGATGCATAGAATTTAAAGTGAGAACATAGGCTATAAGGGCGTTAGAGCTTTTGCTTCAGCTTTGGTCTCTCTGATTTTTATGCATCTTTACTGGTGAAGGACTTTCAAAAGATTTTTTTACATTTATGTTTTAATTTAGGGAAGAAAGGGGTTAGGATTAAAACTAGCTGTCATCACATTAAAATCAGTCAAAATGATTTCTCATAAATATTTTTCAAGTATGGGAATCAGTTTCACACAGCTCCCTTTGTTGTATTTTAAGAAAGTATTACCATTCATGAATATATTCTGACTTTATTGCTTAGTTTACCTTTACATTTCAAGATAGTGATTATGGTTTTCCCCAAGCTACAGTACAGCCTTCAATAGGCAGAACAGCAGTTCATATTCATATATGAGAAACAATATAGATACATAGTCAAGATACAGCTAGTTTAAATCTTAAGGCAACTTTAACTCCTAAGATATACTTCAATGACTCCATCAATGATATAATGGTTATTTAAGACACTGGTAGACACGGAAAGCGACTTAGAGACCTATTTCATACCGTTAGCACGTGCATTTAAAAGCTGCACTAATCAGGCTCTCTCTATATGAGAAAGCAAATGGATGGCACATTTATCACTGCTTAGCTGACTGACAACACCTGAATAGAGAACAACGTGACGATCTTAATTGTATTCCATAACTATAAGAACTGAGTCATGTTTGTCATTTCAAGTCTCAAGCTCAGAGCTTTTCATAAAGCTGCTTTCTAGTTCATTTCTAAACTCAAGCAAAAAGAAACTCTGCAATTCAAAAGTATAATTCTTTAAAAAATGACTCACATATCTTCTTAGAATAAATTATCTTATGGCATATTTTTTTAGTTTATTATTATTATTATTTTTTACTGTCAGAAAGGTAATATAGGCTCATTATAAGATACAAGGAAAATAAAAGTGGGAAGAAGAAAAATCACCTAGAGTCCCATCACCTAAGGCAACTAATTAAAACTTTGGGTATTTCTTTTTAGACTTTTTTTTTTTTAGACTTTTTCTATGTGTTTCTTTCATAGCTGCAAACACAATATGTATAATTTATATAATTTTATATCCTTAAAAAATTTACTATTATGTAAGGATTTTTCATAAATTACAGAAACATCATTTTATTTTATTAAAAGATTTATTTGAGAGAGAGCAAGCACAAGCAGGTAGAGGGGCAGTGGGAGAAGCAGACTCCCCACTGAGCAGGGAGCCCAATGTGGGGCTTGATCCCAGGACCCTGGATTATGACCTGGACCAAAGGCAGATGCTTAAGTGGCTGAGCCACCCAGGCACCCCCAGAAACATCATTTTAAACAGCCTTATTATATCCCATTCCTCTGTAGGTGACTGTCTCCATTTACTGGTGACTATAAGTGGTAAATATCCTTCTACAGACAATTTCTCTCTGTATTTAGTATAGTTTCCTTAAAAGACTTCTCAAAAATGAGTATTAAAGGTCAAAAATGTGTGTGCATGTGTGTATAAAAATTCTTTTTAAAAAAATCTATTGATATACCAGAATCAGATTTTCCTTCTCTACGTACAATAATTTAGTTCAGCAGTATCTCGTTTTAGAACATAAGAAATAATGCCTAAATACTGGAATATATTCCTTAATTAATCATCTGAAGCTTTGCAGAGCTTCTGAGCTCTTAGGTGGAAATTTCTTCCATATCAGATGCTGGTTTTCTGCTTAGAAGTGCTAAGGGCCCATACATCTATCAGATAACAAGCACCTTTTTTTTTTTTTTTTAAATGCCCAATGTGGGGCTTGAACTCACAACCTGGAGATCAATAGGTACATGCTCTACCAATTCAGCCAGCCAGTCGGCTGCTATGCTGCTACTTAATACGGCAGAGGGAAGGAAAGGTTTCAAACTTCAGGCAATAAAGACCTAAATTAAGAAGTGTTTGTGTAAACAATCACACAAGGCATATAACAGAGTGACCATAATTCCTATGTACCTTTACACAGAATGCCTTAAAGAAGGCATACAAGATACTTTTGATTCACTCTGTAATTTATGATATATATAAAAATAGGAGTTAAAATTTTTATTGGTTCAATGTATTTGAGCAATAATAGGAGGAATGGTATCAGTTGCAATATTTAGAAACAAAATAATCAAATTCTGGGATCCCTGGGTGGCACAGCGGTTTGGTGCCTGCCTTTGGCCCAGGGCACGATCCTGGAGACCTGGGATCGAATCCCACGTCGGGCTCCCGGTGCATGGAGCCTGCTTCTCCCTCTGCCTGTGTCTCTGCCTCTCTCTCTCTCTCTCTCTGTGACTATCAGAAATAAATGAAAATTTAAAAAAAAATTTATAAAAAAAAAACAAAAACAAAAACAAAATAATCAAATTCTAAAGGGCTTAATGGAATTAAACCATTCTAGCTATTCCCAAATAGAGCATTTTTAATATTGTTTTTTATAACGTGTCCCAGGACTTTAGGTCTGGGGTATAAAAACTATATTGCAGAGACCTAAATATCTGCAAAAATTACAATTTAAGGAGGGGGGAACATTCAGAAAGGTCCAGATATCAGTTGCAGGCTATGATGAGGAAGAAAGAAAAGTTCAGTGGAGCAGACTCAAGAGCAGAAAGAGCAGTTCCACCCAGGCACTTTTACCAGCCGTCCTGTACAACTTTTCAGAAATAAATGTGAATTTCTTAGATTGCATTCTTCTCATCTTACCAAACCCAAATCAGAGGTACACAAATGTAGGAATATGAATGTTCTTTCTATCCACATATGTATTTCAAGTATGAATTTTTAAGTTAATACTTTGCAACTGCCTATGTAACTGTAATGCATGTAATGTAGTTACTAGGGCTCATAGATAGCACACACAGCTTTTTCCTCGTTGAAATTTCATAGCTCAAGTGGAAAATTATACCGAGGTCACCAAAACTATAGTTAAGTGTTCTGTTTTTAAGTATTTCACTTGCTTTTTTAAAGTCTTCTGGGCCTCCCTGCTGTTATTCCTCTCAAAGTTTTCTTGGTGTTTTGTTTCTGCCTGGTGAAGTATCTTATACATTCATTTCTAATAATGATGCCACTATTTTTAATAATAATTTTAATAATGACAGTTCTAATTGAACTAGCAGACATGAAATCTCTTAATAAGATAGTTCTCAAAACAGATTAAGAAGTCAAAATATAGTATTCAACAAAGATAAATTGCAACACAAATCATATGAAATCATGTTAACTGAGCATGCCTAAATAGTAACATACTTTGGAAAAGGGCATTAAGTGTGCATCAATGTCAAGAAATGTTTCACCAAGCATTAGAAGAACCAAAATTATAAATGATCCTAGATATATGGGAAACATATAATATTTATATGTAACCTACTGATACTTAAAGATCAGAGCAGGTAAACTCCACCTTGTGGCAAACTTTAATACTCTTAACAAATGGCAAAAATTTAAAATGTATAAGCAAGCAGCAGCTTACTTAAGGAGAATCTATAATATAAACTCTTGTATAATTTTAAACATAAGACTACGTATCCTAATTAAAAGAAAAGCCTTGTAAGGACTTTGATACAAGGGAACAGAGAAGTTTCATATGAAACTAAAACACAGGACAGGCTTTTTTGGATACAACAGTTTACCATAATATTCTAAGAACTCTTAACATTTCCAGAAGACTGTGTTACATTAAGATTTCTAGGTACTTATCCTCTTCTTAAGGCAAACCTATGAAAAGGCAGTTCATTTCAGTGTGACAATAAAATCTTTCTTCAAAAAACGGGTTCTTATTAAGTCACACAGTTTTAAAGTCCATGAAGGAGCAACTTAGGTGATTATTAAAACAATATGGGCAAATGTCACTAATAAATGGCTTAAAATAAATGCCACATACATGCAATTTAAAAAATGCATTAAAAAAATTAAAGAATTCACTGAGAATAATGACTGTCCATCATACCTCTGGGTCACTGTAAATACTCATGTGAACTATGCAGTTGGTCGCTAAAGTAAAATGCTGCTACTAAACTTAAGAACAAATAATTTATATGGTCGATACAAATAATAAAATGGGATGAGAGAAATCCTAAAACCAAAATACGTACCAAAGAAAATCACACCAAAATAAGAAATTATAAAGTAATTCTGATTAAATTATAGGTTAGGAAAAGTGGGAGGATTACACACAGAAATTAGCTGGGATAGGGACTGAGAGAAGTTAAAAAAAATGACTAAGTGACACAGACATACAAATTAAAATGAACACCTAAAGGAAAGGACAAATTAAAGTCCACAGCACATTGCAGTACAGTAACATCCTCATGCAAAGTAGGAGTCTTCTGAAGTTGGAATAATAAATACTTGATAACTAAAATCCTGGGTAGTTCAAACCAACAATCCAGCTCACTCTTACATAATCATTTTAACTTTCAGATTCAAAAGGTAATTAAAATTAAAATAAAATCAGAAGGCATATTTTCCCAGTACCATAATTTACACTATTTGAAATGAAAGCATTGCCACAGATTAAAATCATTCTGACCACATTAATCATCTTCCAAATGTATTTAAATTCCAATAATTCATTATTCATAAATTATTCTAAAGAAAAACATAAATCTGTCCAGATCACAAGGGTGAGATCATAATTACTAAAGTTCCATATCAGATACATAATAACACTGATTTCACATCTTGAAATATATATTCAATTACATTAAAAAGAAAAAAACTTTATTACTACTCTCTACTTAAAAGATGTAGTGTCAGTAAATAAGCTCAAAAAAGGGGGAGGCAATGTTTACTGGTCAAAGACAGACAGCTAGGGAAAAAACGGTTAATTTCAGAAATGAATCTGTGGGAACTGCCTAAATATAATTAGGCTTAAATCCTCTCATGATCAGGTTATTACACTTCCTTTTGTAGCCTGAGGGACTAAGGTTACTGAAAACATAGTATTTAAAGGCAGGTCCAAATCTTCTTCATCTTCAGATTCTGCCCCAGGTCACAGCAGATCCTATCTAAAGCAGGAACTTAAGGATTCAAATGAATAAATCACAGGGGCAAGGGGAGGTATAGGGAGACCATTGTCTCAAACATGTACTATCTCTGGAAGTGATTTGCTTCAACAACCAACATGTTTATTACAAGCACACTAAAGAAGGCACTAAATTTGAGACCAAGATGTATGTACCAATATCTGCCTATTAATTTCTTTGCAGGTATTTAATGAACATTTTGCTTAAATAAAAATTTTAAAACTACTCTTTTACAGTTCTAAGTCAAACACGAGACGTGGCAAGCTTCTAAAACCAAAGACTTAAGGCTTACTGTTGAGTGGGAGACTCCTCCCTAGTGAATTACAGTGAAAAATTCCTAAATGACTTTCACCCAATTAATCAATCCTTTTTCTGCTTTATAAAATTAAGATATCTCTGGCGTGGCAAACCAAGAGTGACCCACCACCAAAGGCTGCCACAACCTGAGAGATAGTAGAGAAAGGAGGTGACCCCATCACCCCACAACTTTTTCAGATTCTTCATGAAAAAGGGAGTAGAATTTGGTTGGTAGGAAGGGGAAAAAAGACATTTTCATTCCTTAGGTGTATGTTTTTCTTTTTTCTTTTTTTTGCCTGCAATTTCACAACTCTAGGCCATATCTTAAGACTGAGGTTGCAACCTGGTGGTCTGTAAACATGTTTTGTTCTGAAGAGTACTTTTAAAGACTTAAATTTACTTGCCATTATTTGAATAGCAGGAAATTTCACATAAAAATCCAGATTTCAAAAAAAAAAAAATCTTGATTTCTAGTGTCTCACAGAATCAGAAGACCTGGCAACACTCAGCCTGGACAACAACAAAAGGCCAGGGCTGAGCTGTGGCTGCATCTTTTGGATAGGGCCTATCATAGTCCCGACGTCTCTTACTTCTCATACTTGGGTCACCTTCTTCATTTACATTAACTACTCGGACCCTTAGGTACTTAAGATTTGGGGCTCTACCCCCACCTACCTTACCAACAACCTTTTATAAACAAGGAGAAACTTCAATACAGAACTCCTCAATTTCCACTGTGCTTCTATAAAATTTTGAAACACTACAAGAAATCAAGATGGAATTCTTTGAAAGGTATGTTGGTTTCCCTCCTTCTCTTTTTTATTCATCCCATTCTTGATTACTAGATGTCAGGGATGTATGCTAACATTACCATCAAATTAGTTCTAGTTTATAAATAGATATGACAAAATATACTGATTTCCCTTCAAAGATCATTGTAGAGTACTTTATTATGAGCAAGCTCATCCATTAATACACACCCAACCTTTTTCATTTGGAAGCAGATTAAATCGACCTAAGAATAAAATTGTCACTAAGATCCAGACAATGAATTCAGTCTGCAATTATGGACACTGAAGATCTTTGAGAACAAATAAAGTAGATGGTTTTTGATTAGCAATTATTAGGAACCAAGGTGGGTTCACCAAGAATAAGACACCAAATAGATGTCACTTCCTATTTAGATAAAATTACTGCACTGGTAGATCAGAGGACTGTGTTAGAAAATACATATTGATTTCAAAAAAGCCCTCTATGAAATATCTTGTAAGATAATAAGATATAAAATATGGACTGGATAATAATATTTTTAATTTACAGAATAATCTTTCCCCAAGAATTTTAAACATGTGTCATTGGGAAAAGAGTTCTCCAATGGAATACTTTAGGGCTTGCTGGCTTTGGCTCCCCCTCTCTCTCCAATCTTTGGGTATTCAACATTATTTTTTATCAATAACTTGAAAGATAAAGAAGACATATCTACCAAGTTTGCAAATAACACAATGCCAAGAGAGATATATAATGGGACAAATGACAGAAATAATGTTTGAAATGACTGAGCTAGAACAAATGGATCAAAAAGAAGAATATGACATTTAATAGAGATATATATGTATCTGTGTTTATATTCAAAGAGTCAACTAAAAATGTCAAGTACACAATTAGAGAGGAGGGGACACTGCCTTAATAGTACTTCATATGAAAAAAGATCTGATTTCAATGAGCCCCAAAATTCATATGCATCAACAGTGGGATGGGCTGCTAAAAAAGTTAATTCATGCAGCAGACAGGTGCTGTCCTAACTGTGGAACATGACTACCCACTGTTCTGGACCAGCCCCATCACACCTAGAGCACTGCTCTCCATTCTCAGTGGCACCTCTTTTAAGAGGAACTCTGAAAACCAAAAGGGCTTTCACAGCTGCGGACAATCAGGACTGGTGAGGTCACTAAACCATCTAATTTAAGAAAAGGCTGAAAGAAATGGGGATGTTCTACCTGGAGAAGAGAAAATTAGGGGAGACATGATGGCCGTCTTCAAATGTCTGATGGATTGCTATGTTGAAGAGGGAGTAGAATAGTCGTATGTTGTTCTAAAGGGCAGAACTAAAACTAAAGGAGAGAAAGTTATAGGGAAATCATTTTAGTTAAAAAATAAAAATAAAGAGCAAAGGTAAAAGCAAAAACCCTCTCCAATGAGGAAAGCCATCAGCAGGTAAACAGTACTCTCCACAGGAAGGCTTTCAGGAAGGCATTCTAATGGGAGGTTAGGCCAGATGCATTCTGAAATCTCTTCCAACTCTACCATTTCTAACACTGGAGCTCTTGAATGTTGTTTGGTTTGAACTAGCCTTGCATTTTCCCAGATAGTCATCATGAGCAAATCTGTGTTACTACTTTGTAAGGTGCCGTTCAAAGGACAGAGGCAGAACTTTACCACCAAATTAGTGTGGCAGTCCCTTCAAAGCAGTCACCTGAGATGGCTGCATTCTTATTCCAGAGCTGCTAGTGCTCAAAACGTCATCAAATCTCTTTTTAGAATGCCTTCAAAATCAGTTTCTGACCCACATTAAATAAAGTCTCACTGTTTCATAGCCACAACTACTACTCTTCCTGGTGGACACAAACTATCCTTTTATTTGGTACCGTTGGAGCCTTGCCTTCAGTGAGAGTCCAATGGTAAGCAAAAATGGACCCATTTCTAACCAAAATTGATTAAGCTTGAAGATCTGTCTTAATCAAGCCCAGCTCCCAATGACATCTGAATGTTAATTTCAAAACACTCATTCATCTTTAGACACAATTTACAGTAGATTCAAATTAATAGTACATAGGCTCTTAAATGCTCACAAAATGTAAATCTGAATAATGTAAGCATGACCAGAATAAGAATATAACCTTCCAAGTTCTTTGCTTTGAGGGAATGTAAATATCCTACCTTTTGTTTGTTTATTTTTCTTCCCTTTCTAAAAACCTTATTACTTTCTAAGCATATTTCATGTTTTGGGCTTGATTATAAAGACCTCAAAAATTAGTACTACAGATCTTTTGTTCTTTCCCACATTCCTTTGAATCCTCAAAGTTGGCTGTGATTCTCATTTCCAGAAGTCATGCTCTTCAAATAAACATTCCAGGAACTGACAATACAGAAATTTTTCAAACCTAAGATACTGTTGGCATTAGTATGTTTTTTTTTTTTTGCATTAGTATGGTTTTAGTTAAGTATATTAGTTGAACGTAAGCTGAGTACAGTTTAACATTTGAGATCAATGTGCCTTTTCCTTACTACAAAAGTCCTAGTCTATTTCTATAACTCTCAACCAAAAGATGTTAATCTCCCTACACAAACTATCCTGTAATATGAACAATACTTTAGCTTCCTTCATGAAAAAGAAATCCAAAATCTTATTTTATAGTCCCCTAAAAACACCGTCACCATGGTGAGAATTTTAGTAGAAGTTAGTTGGGCATCAGTTGGTTTGTGGTCTTTGTAGTATCTGTATAATAAATAGGTATCCACTTTTTTCTTTGGTATTTTAACAGAATGCCTGGTACCCAGTAAATAAAGTTAAGAACCTGTTAAGAACTGCAGTGAAGATTTTGTTCTTTACAGATTGCAGCAAGTCTGAGTTGAGGAAGTTCTGACAGATGCAAAATGTACACCTGTTGCAGGTGCACATACAGCGTAACCGGGCATGGCTGCGAAAACACACAGAAGGACAGGAGTTGAGTTCTTACTTGCAAATATGGCACAAGTTAGGGTGTGCCAACTTAAAAAAAAAAGATTTAGGCATAAGCAACACTAAGGAAAAAAGGACAGTGTGGGGCATGCTAAAGTTGTGCAGAATTCCACATTTACCAAAAATATAATAAACAGCAATAGCTCCCTCCTCCCTCCCTATAGAAAACCTAAGGAAAATTAACTAACACTCTTGCTTTTTTTGGAGGGGGGATGGAATTATTATTATAAGAGCTTTAGTGGAATAAGTATGCACAGCAATAGATGGCACCCTCATGTAAATTAATAAAAAGAAAAACTGAGTAAGCCAGAGCACCCACCAAAGGACAAAGTTTGCTAGCATTTAAATAACCATTCCCTCCTCCCTCAGCATACACACATGCCCGAAAACCAGGAAGGAGAAGAGTGACAAATACACAAAAGAGCCAAAAGACGAGTATATTCAACCCTGAGGAGATATGAACAACATCGTCTTTAATTCATCAAGCACCCAGGCTCCCAAAGGAAATCAAAGTGCTTCATAAATTTCCACTTGAACAAAATATAGGGTTGATTTCATCTGCTACTAAAACACAGCAGCTAAGTACGACAGTATGAAACTCTAGGTAAGGATATAAAAATCAACAATGGGTCCAATTAATATTAGATATGAAATTTAGGAGGCTTTCTGACTCCTTTCTGGTTGAGTGGAGTTGTACTAGTTGGTACAGGCACATGGGGCAATCTATTTCACCTCCATCCTAACAACCAAAATAGGGAGGTCTCCAGTGACTGGTCAGTGGTCAGAGCCACTCAGACATACAAAGCCATAACACCACCCTGAAGAAGTACTGGCGCAGAACCCACTCAGAAGAGCGCCACCTGATGAATCAATGCCATCACTTCTTGTAACACCTGAACATTTTTTAAAGGCTTCTCAGTCAAAGGACTGGCCCAATCTGACTTAGCTTAGCTTGTGAGATCTGATGAGACCACATCACACGGTGGCATGGTTGTGGAGATTAGCAGCATCCCAATAATGCCTAATTCTCAACATGAAGAAAAATGAGAATTAATTTTTTAAACTCTCATAGACTCAAGACATTCCTTTTTAAAACTTGATTTGTGATGATGAACATATCAATGCTACTAAGTTGCTGCCAGCTGTCATACTGGAATCCATCTGTTATTTTATCAATTCAACCTGACTCTTCAACATACACAGGCTCCACCCACCAAAAAGGAGAGATGCAAAGTATGCTTAGCAACAGGGAGATGCTTCATGAGAAGTAGTTTGGGATTAACCATATAAGCAAGTGTCCCTGTATGTACATTTATCATATACACACACATACACACACAAATTGCAGTAAAATGTCTTAAAGATGCAGATCTGAAAACACAGTTACGATTATCTATAAGATTAAAATAGTGCATTTACACAGTAAAAAATAAAAAATAAAAAAACCTAAAAACACAAAAACAAAAAAACCACCACTGTAATATACAGTTAGGCAGTAAGCCTGACCAAGCAGTGCGTTTCTGGATAATTACTAAATGTTAATTATGGCAAGAAAGGAGATCTGGTCATCTATAAGAAAATGCCAACAAAATCCCACAGAAGCCATAAAGAAAAAGTAACTTACAAAGCAGTTTTTAGAAAGACCCAGATTTTTCTCAAATTCTCTATTCTATCAGTGTTGCCCATGTCTCGGGAGAGTCTGTCTCTGTAATGATCCTCTCTGTAGATAACATACATGAGACTTTTAAAGCAAAGGTAAAACACAAATAAGATTTTGTTTATCTTATAGTAATAGGAATGACTTGTCTTCCAATACAAATAGAATTTCAAGGGTTTGCTGCCTTTTTAAAAAAAGTATTAGTTAACAGAATAGCAGTAAAGTTAACTCGGATTTAAAGAATCTGCGCAAATTAACACCTTTCTGAAAGACTTCAGTTTGTAGCCATGTTTGGTTATTACTCTATTTTATACCAGTTTTCATAAGAAGAAAAATAATTTAGAGTCTTAATTAATATATAGATTAAGCTAAAGTCCTAAGAAACGCACTGCCTGAAAAACTATCTTGTTACAAAACAGAGTTATACACACACAGTACTTGAGGAGAATGCCATTAAGAACCATGCAATTCTAAAGCAGTTAGTAAGCTATGAAAATGTCCACAGTTATGTGCTTATGTATATGCATGTATAGATATACAATAAATGTACATAAAATTCATGGCTCACAACACTTAATGTAAAACATTTATATAGTAGGAATTCCAATTACAACTACTGTTTACAGCACTTAAAAAAGACATTATATTCTCAACTCAAACATACCTATAATTTAAACATAAATTCATAAAGTATTTTAGAATCTTCCACATACTCAAGGTCAATAAACAGAAAAATACTAAGATGAATTTTTTGTTCATATGGAAATGTCTTAAAAGTATAGAGTAACATGATGCCAACCCCGTTTTATTGAAATAAGACAATTTTTTTTTAATGCTGTGTCGGGGGTTGAGTTTTATTGTACTATCCTATGAAGATAGTTACAGCCTGCTTACAAATATACAAATACCGTCAGAAGCACTGTTTATGTAATTTTATTATGGCACCCAAACCAAACTCGCATTTGGTCAAATTTGTTCCTTCTCATTACAAAGTCTCTTTCTGTTGCTGAACAACTTCTACGTGACAAAGGTTCCACCCTTGTGACTGATGGCATGCAACGATATTATGAACCATGCAACATGAAAATGATGGCAGAGCAAGTACTTACGGGTACATGGCCATTGTTGTCAATTTAACAAAGATATCTTTACTGGGTGCATCAGCAGTATTGCAAGTGAAGGCTTGTGGTGGAGGCATTTTGTGTTTCCTGCAGAAATCAGCAGGTGAAATACTATAGTCTTGTTTAACTTCATGTAGGTCTGATTTTGCAGCTATGATTAAGCAAGGTATTCTGCTGTCCATGAAGTGTTGCTATGGAATAAAAACTAAAATCAAAATCTGAAGACAAGTTAAAAAAATTACTAAATTTAATTAAATGTGTACTAAAAATTATCTCTTGCAGGGCAAAACACAGTTTCAAGGCAAAAGTAAACTAAGAGACAATGATTGACAGTGGACCAGGGAAGTCTCATAAGACCGGGGCCAATTTTCTAACGCTCTCAACCATACAAACCTACAACTCTTGAGATTAACTACAATTTGAAAAAAATAAATCTTTTTTTATTAAAAAGATACCATATTTTGTAGTAAAAAGAAATCCATCTAAATTCCTCTATCCTAAAGCACATTATTTTCATTTTTAAAACCTGTTTCACAATTATATTATTTTTTTCACTATTTTCATTTTTCTTATCATTAGTCTTTATATAATGATAAAAATCATTATATATTTATGTATATATATGTATATATAAAAATCATTACATATACATGCAATTATATATGCTTCTATAGTTGCAGTCATGCTGGACATAGCCATTTAAAAATAGAGTACTCAATTTTCCATGTGTTCAGAATTTAAAATCATTATTTTTACTTTTTAACTTTTTTTTTTTAATTCATGAGACACACACACAAACACACACACACACACACAGAGATGCAGAGACACAGGCAGAGGGAGAAGCAGGCCCCATGCAGGGAGCCTGATGTAGGACTCGATCCCGGGTCTCCAGGATCACACCTTGGGCTGCAGACGGCACTAAACCGCTGCACCACCGGGACTGCCCTAAAATCATTATTTTTAAAAAGATTTTTTTTTTAATTTTTTTAATTTTTATTTATTTATGATAGTCACAGAGAGATAGAGAGAGGCAGAGACAGAGGCAGAGGGAGAAGCAGGCTCCATGCACCGGGAGCCCGACGTGGGATTCGATCCCGGGTCTCCAGGATCGCGCCCTGGGCCAAAGGCAAGCGCCAAACCGCTGCGCCACCCAGGGATCCCTAAAAAGATTTTTAAATTCATTTGATAGAGAGCAAGAGCAGGGTGAGGGCAGTGGGAGAGGGAGAAGCAGACTCCCTCTGGAGGGCTCGATCAAGGGCTTGATCTCAGGATCTGAGGATTCAGGGATCAAGACCTGAGCCGAAGGCGGATGCTTAACCAACTGAGCCATCCAGGTGCTCCCAAAATCATTACTTTTAATGGCTGTTTAATATTCCACTGTTATTGTTTTTAACTTAATTTAGTAAATCATCTTCCTATTGTTAGATATCCAAATTATTTCTAGTTTTTTAATTAAAAATAATGCTAGAATAAATTTCTTTGCAACGAATTTTGTAAAGTTTTTTAAAGTTTTGTAAAGTTTTTGTAAAGTTTTTTACTCCTATTGGATCTTGGTGATAATCTCAAAGCAAATGAGGGCTTTTCAAGCCTCTGGTTTTTCCCCTTGCTCTATTATTATTATTATTTGTGTAAATGGCAATATATAATCCATGTGCACGCCTTTTTTTTTTTTTTTAAGATTTTAAGTAATTTCTCACCCAATGTGGGGCCTGAATTCACAACTCCAAGATTAAGAGTCGTGCGCTCCACTGACTGAGCCCATCAGGCACCTCTCCACATACATTACTAATGGTCAAGAAGACCATCCATTAATGTAGAGGTTCTTATCTTTAAATGCATATATCAGAGTCACATGTGTAAAAAAAATGTGGGTTTTTTTTGTATGTATGTATGTATGTATGTATGTATGTATGTATTTTTGGAAAAAGTGTTTTTAAAATGTTTAAATCGAACTTCACTTTAATTTTAATTGGACTTTACCACCTCAGAATGAAACTGTAACCTTTAGGGATGGGAACAAACATATGTATTTTTTAAAAGCTCTGCAAGTGATTTTCTTGCATCCCTTTGGTTAGAAAACATCACATTATACAATTCCATTTAATTCCATATAAAGTTACAGACCAAAAGAACAACAAACCTTAAAAATCCTAGCACAGTATTCAAAGGATTTGGGATTACTGACGTCATATACCAGGCACACAACATCACAAATGATCTCAGCCTCAGTCAGAAATTCCGACTCTGAGATATCATGCAACTTGTAAAAAGAAAAAGATAATAAGAAACATTAATATCATAATATTGATGTTTAATTAAAGACATGATGTGTTATTATTGCTTGACTTCCAAATAAAGTACTAGTTAAGCATAACTTTTCAGGCTATTTTTAGAGGTGGGAAGTATAGCTAACCCAGTAGCTTCTGATTCTCTGGACTGAAAATTTGGTAATTAAGGTTTTATAGGAGCAAACATTTAGTCAGTGACTAACGTGTGCCCAGGCAGGCCCTCTGTATGCATTCTCTACATAGATAAGATGACAAGCTAAAGAGATTAAGTCAACTGCCTAAGATAACACATATCTAGCAAGTCAACTGACCAAAATTTGAACTCAAATATGATTTCAAATCTGTTTTCTTTCTATCAGACCACCTTGTCTTCTCACCAATTAAAAAAACAAAACAGAGAAAAAGACTATTTACACTAAGGTCATTTTGTTCTGCTTCACTGCCTATTTTTTTCCAATGTTGACTATAAGACCTCCAAAGAAATAGCCCACCTATAATATGACAATGACCCAACAACAGTAAAACTCAGTACTACAAAGTTATGTAAGATAGTGTACCTATGCTGAGAAGAAAGGGGAAGTACAGAGTCAGAAGTGATTCAGTATATTCCAAATAAAATACTTTTCCAGCATGGATATTTGGAGACATGAAAGACATCAATTTGCAAAGAATAGTATAAAAATAAAAACAGGAAAATTAACAGTCAGCTATATTTACTGAGTACCCAGTAAATAGAACTATACTTACAGGAGAAGATTGGGAGTTAAACAAGGTTTAATAAGAAGTTGACAAAAAAACTTTTATCACAAGGAGGAAAAACTGTATAAAATTCAATGTGATCATCTGTGTAGCAGAATAAACTATTCCCAAAAAGAAAATGAAAGGAAATGAGCGTTCCTGGTACCTATTATTTGTTAGGAGCTCCTCATGTTAGCTAATTTAATAAGGAAGTCAGGCTTAGAGAGAATAAGACACTTGCCTGAGGTCACACAGTTAATCAATGGGGGATCAGGGTTCAAACCAAACTGTGAATGGATCCAAGAAGAACATGTAATAATCTCTTTCTACTGGACTTCATATTATATTTTTAGCCATACAATTCTTTAATTCATTCTTTTAGACTAACACATTTGGTAACCATACACCTCTCTGCTAAATAGATAAAACTCGATGCAGAGTACAGACAAACTACCAAGCACCTGCGTTAAGGTTTTCCTATTAATTTCTGGTCAACAGAAGTGGAAAACAAAATTTTTTAAAGAAAAGTGGGAGAAAGAAGAAAGAGAAGTTATTTTTTATTGTTGTTTTTACTTTCTATTGTGTATAACATACAATTAAGCACATGAATAGATTAATTTTCACTTATATCTACACTCGTGTAATCACCACATACATCAAGGTAATTAAAATTAATTCCAATGACTAAACCAGGTGAAAGGAAAAAAAATTACAAAAGTTCTACACATAGCCATTAAATTAAATCCAATTATGTTTTCAAAGAATCATATACAAATATGCCCAATAATCAGTAATCTTTATATGCCAGAGAATTTCTTACCAACAAGTATTTCTCTTGTCCATATACATAAACAGTGTTAATCGCATAGTAGGATTTATGATCATCACGAATTTTCTTCTGTCTCTGAAAACAACCAAAAGTCTCAATATTTACAGTTAAGAAATTACAGTACCTAGTTTTCATCAACACACACTCTGCATGTATGTATGGGTACGTCATAAATAAAAGGGCATTCTTCCCTTCACTATGTGTTATTTATCAGTACAAAGGGGACATTGATTTTGTTTCTTTGTTCTTAAGGTCTAAGACAAAAGATGCATGAGTTCTGCATAAAGAAAAGCAGCAGCTGAAAAGTAAATAAACTACATTACTGAAAGTACTGCAGAGCTACTTGCCAGCAATTTTCCTTATATTATAATTTGGTCTGACACGAGACTCATCTGGAAACACATCCATCTCCTTTCACAGGGCTGTAGCCAGAATTAGATAAAGTATTCAATTTTAAATATTTACTATACATTTCTTTCTTTTTTTTTTAAGATTTATTTATTTATGATAGACACAGATAGAGAGAGGCAGAGACACAGACAGAGGGAGAAGCAGGCTCCATGCCGGGAGCCCGATGTGGGACTCGATCTTGGGACTCCAGGATCGCGCCCTGGGCCAAAGGCAGGTGCCGAACCACTGAGCCACCCAGGGATCCCCACTATACATTTATTTCATGCCAAGCACCTATGTCAGGTGCTTTCACATATGTATTCATTTAATTCCGACCTAAATACTATTGAGGAAAAAGAAGACAAATGACAGCTAACACAAATGAAACAAAGATAAAGACAGTTCAACAGGATTGTTGTTACTCTTAGATTGTCCTTTACTAATATACACAGGCCACTGAGCTCTAGTTATCACCTAAAAAAGTTAATGGCTATGAAAAATCATATAAACTCATAACTACAAAAATTTGTTAGATAAAACTCTATTATTTGAGAACTCTCACCATTAAGTTTCTTCCAAGAAGAGCCTGAAGGACTCCACTTTTCCCAGAGTTTTTCATCCCAATCACATTACATCTGAACACATTTCTTTGAGTCTGTTTTTTCTGAAGGTCTATCTTTTTATCTCTTGTTACTAAAAAGAAAAAAAAAATGTACCATTTAGACTCATTGAGCCTCCATTTCATCTTCTGCAAAACAGGGTATTGTGATTTTTCATTTTTATGAAGTATGTGATTAATAAACAGACATACTGTAATACAGCCAAGCTGTATGTAAAACCAAGCACTAAATATACCACAGGGCTTCATTAGTGGAAAAAGATTCTCTTGTTTTCTTTCTTTTTTTTTTTTTAGGTTTTTTTTTTTTTTTTTTTTTGACAGAAAAAGAGAGTGAGCACAAACAATAGGAGCAGCAGAGGGAGAGGGAGAAGCAGGCTCCCCATTGAGCAGGGAGCCCAGTGCAGGGCTCAGTCCCAGGACCTCGGGATCATGACCTGAGCCGAAGAAGATGCTTAACTGACTGAGTCACCCAGGTGCCCCGGAAAAGTCACATTTCTGAAAGCTGGCTGTAAGTTAACTTCTGGTAACCAAATGACATTTATTTCATCATAAAATAAGTAGCACATTTTCATAAGGAAAATTACATCCTAAAAATGACAATTATAATGAATATAGCCACCATTATATCCCATCTATTTTCTTCTGTATTAAATAACTGCCATAACAAATTACAAATTAAAGGATGCTATCTCCAATCTGCACACTCTTGAATTTATAAATGGGATAGGGATATGCAAGCTGGGGTTAACTGGCTTTCAAATGTGTATCTGTAAAAGAAGCAGGCCAGAAAAGTAGAGCAATGGTACATCTCTCCCAGAGGTAAAGAGAACTCTTTAAGCTGTAATCCCCAAATTCAACTACAAAAAGTTCACCAGAGGCACTATTTATAGTAGCCAAAAGCTGAAAATGATAAAACACACACACATACACATACACACAGCAATCATGGGATAATTAAATAAGTTATACAACATCTATATGATGACACACTAACTTTATTTTGTTTTTAAGATTTTATTTATATATTCATGAGATACACACGGCGGGGGAGGGCAGAGACACAAACACAGGCAGAGGGAGAAGCAGGCTCCATGCAGGGAGCCCGACGTGGGACTCGACCCCGGGTCTCTAGGATCCCGCCCTGGGCTGAAGGCAGCGCTAAATTGCTGAGCCACCCAGGCTGCCCGACACACTAACTTATTGATATAGCAAGATGTCCACAGTATTTGCTGTGAAAGAACCTCATGCTAGCTAACAATTCATTCCTTGCTCTTTGGTGCTGAATTAAATACTGTCTACTTGGTTAACTACTTTAAAGGGTACTTGCCCTGTCAATTTAAGATTGGTTGTCTTCTTGTGTCAGGACGTCCTGTAAGGTATGGCATTATCCTCTACTGATGAGGATATAAGAAAATCTTGAAACAATCAGTTCCCTAATTTGTTATTTCCATACCTATGTTATTTTTTTTTAAAGACTTTATTTTATTTAGTGGAGGGACAGAGAGGGAGAGAAAGAAAGAATACAAGCAGAGGAAGGGGCAGAGGAACAATCCCGGCTCAGCTGGGAGCCCAACGTGCGGCTCGGTCCTAGCGCCCTGAGATCATGACCTGAGCCGAAGTTGGATGCTTAATCCACTGACCCACTGAGGCATGCCTTTACCTATGGTATTCTTTAAATGGAGCACACTGCTTAGTAAGAATTACAAAGTCTGGGAAAGATTTTCTAATGTAGAAAATGGTAACAAAACCAAGAGATACACAATTAGTTCAGTATTGACATCATATGCTGATATGTATTGTTTCCAGTGTCTAAAGAAAATGAAAAGAAGATAATCTGGCACATTACATTTAATGCCCACAGCTCTCCCTGATTTCATCAGTGGAGCATCCACAGGGGTAAGCTAGAAGTAAAACTTCTACTACTCTTTATTTTTTGATAAACAATAAAATCAAGCCTCTGATACTCAAAAGAAATTACCAAGTGGCCAGGAGAAGAAATAGAGTGTAGATGTGGAAGACTAATGAAGAGGAATTTATTTTCGCTCTTTTTACACCTGAAACTGGAATATTAAAAAATGTTTTTGAAAAAATAAAAATGTTTCTGAGCATGAACTGAGTACTATTTAGATACTCACCTGTAATGGCTGAAGCTTGAGACTCTTGCTCAGTCAATATAGAATAGCCTAGATAGCCCAAATACTCTAGGCATCGCTGGACGTCTAAGTAGGTCGTGAGCCTAAGAGAAGAGGTGGAAAAGTTCCTAAATGAACATTTATAGAAAAAAAATCCCAACAGCTCAAATAACCTTACCACCAGACCCAGATAATTTCTGTCAGACTTTAAGTTCCCATGTGCCCAGCCAGATGTTTTCCTACATCGCCATTCTTAAGGAAGAGAAGAGAGGGAGGGGATGCAAGACTGGCAGGGGTAGAGTAGGATTCCTAAACCTACATGCAGATGAGCAGCGAGATGCTGATAAAATCCAGGGTAAGGATATCTTACAGTATCTGCTTCCCAAGTTACACACAGTTGACTGCATATATCGGCTGGTTGAGGACTTGATAATTAAATTGGAAAGGTTTCCAAGAGGTGCAAAAATAACTGAAAAGTACTTGGAATTAGCCCTCTTGTCTAAAAACAGAACAGGTCTTGGTGTTGAGAAAGTTAGTCTCACCAAGGCTAAAGTAATAATGTCATCATGTGTAACCACAGGATGTCCTAAGCGCCCTAGATACAATGTCAACTGCACTGCAAGTAGACTGTAGTAAAACCATCACTAAGACCTGCACTAAAAACAAACAACAACAAAAAACCAAAATAAGTCTTCAGTGTCAAGTAAAACACACTCTCCCCATATTCTGGAAGTATAAGAACTGTAACAGCAATGAGGTTTTCAATTCCCATAATAAAAAAAGTACTAAAATCTAGTTCAGTTTTGATGTAAGACTTATCACTGTTACTTTAAATTTTTTTTTTATTTTTATTTTTATGATAGTCACAGAGAGAGAGAGATAGGCAGAGACATAGGCAGAGGGAGAAGCAGGCTCCATGCACCGGGAGCCCGACGTGGGATTCGATCCCGGGTCTCCAGGATCGCGCCCTGGGCCAAAGGCAGGCGCTAAACCGCTGCGCCACCCAGGGATCCCTCACTGTTACTTTATACATCATCCAAAAGCAAACACAACCTTCCTGATAAATTAATAGAATATCTAAAGTTCATCTTAGATATAGCAGCAGCACTATAAATCCTGCTCATAGGCAGTTATGATTGAAGTATTTTTATAAGACCTGACAAACTTACAAAATGATGAATGTGATGTATCATAATTTTAAACTAGCTGTGACTCTAAAGGAAACAGGTGAGCTCTGTACTCACGTCCACTGGGAAAGAAATCCCTGGTAAGTTATCCAGCCTCTTTCATTTGTACAAACTGTGTTATTCACATCTGGTCCCCAAGGTATGTAAGGAAAAACTTTAAACAAATCTTTAAGCTCATCAGGTGACAAAGCACAGTCTCTATCCTGAGGACACACAAAGCATACAAAATGTTTAGATATCTAAGATAATAATTCCCAAACATAAGAACCCCCAGTCTAGTAAAGCTACACTTCTAAAAACAAAGTTTAAAATAAATAAACAAACAAACAAATAAACAAAGTTTTACATTTTATCAAGAAAATTCTCTCATGTATATAAGAAAACCTATGTAAGACTCTATCAGAAAGTAGACTTTTTCAACTTGAGAAAATAATAGAAGTAAATAAATTAAAGAAAGTATTTTTGTTAGTGTAACTGAAGTTTAAGCAATTTTTGGCTATGTGACATGAACCTCCCATAGGTAAGGAGGCAAAGTTGAATCATTTACAGAAAAATATTTTATTACATATCACCAAAAAGTGCACCTAGAAGCTTACCAAATCATGTTTGTCAAAGGTGCTCTGGAGAAACAAATACGCATGATGATTTAATTCAGTAGTGCAATCAGGAGGTATTTTTAACCTATTGACAAAAAAAATTTAAGAGTAAAATAAATCATTAACCAAATATTAAAATTTAAGAACAAATATAAAACTGCAACAAGTCTTTTTTGGGGGATGATGCCATTTATAAAGTCCCTTTGAAGCCATTTAGACTTTCCCAGGGAAAGTCAATAGAGTGGAATGGCAATCCTCAGAAGAGCTATAGCTAACATTCATTGTGAGCTGACATACGAAGTTTTCTTAAATTTCTGAAGGGCAGGTTGAAATAAAAATTTTACAAGTAACACCAATTATACTGTAATGGGTTTGTTATTCTTCTAAACAAATTATAAGTTGCAATTATTGCTTATGTCAACATTGTAATGAGCTGAAAATGATGTGAAGAGGTTATTTCTGCCTGATTTGCCCTTTTTTTTAAAAAAAATATTTTATTTATTAATGAGAGACACAAAGAAGAGAAAGAGAGAGAGAGAGAGAGAGAGAAAGGCAGAAACACAGGCAGAGGGAGAAGCAGGCTCCATGCAGGGAGCCAGACGTGGGACTCGATCCTGGGTCTCCAGGCTTAGGCCCTGGGCTGAAGGCGGCACTAAACCGCTGAGTCACCCAGGCTGCCCTTGATTTGACTTTTTGATGCACCCTAAGCTCAGTTCAATCAAAGGCACCGAGCTAGGTACTAGGCACACAAACCCAAGACAGGCTCCCTACCTCTAGGGAATGTGCTATTCAAATGGGAGACAGACTACAGACAATCTCATTATTGCAGCAGAATGAGGTGAATGGTGGATATGGGTGAACCAATGATGCTACGGGAGCGCACGCAAAAGGGGACATGTCTGGCCTGAGAGTGGGAAGGTATTAGCCCTGTTAAGAGACACTAACACTGACTTGGAGATTTGAAGGATAAGAGGCAGTAATTAGGTTGGGGAGAGAGAGGGAGAAAGTGAGAATCCCTGCGCAAAAGCCTGGAGCGCAAAACAACAGATGATTGGTAGACTATAAATAGTTTAGTATTAGTACTTACTTCTAGAATGAAGGCAGGGAGTGAAGCATGAGCAAAGCAGATCATGAACGACCTTGTATAACATGTTAAGAAGCCTGAGCTTTATCCTGGCTCGAAGGGAAGTGACATGGGCAAATCTATATTTATACATCGACTAATCTAATAGAAGTATGAAGGACAGAAGGAGACAGTTAATAAGAAGGCTAGCAAGATTCAAATGGTAGCTCTATGAAGCTATTCTATAGAAAATGATAGGTAGACAGCATAAGGATATTGAGAGATATCAGTGTGACCCACAAATCCACAAGCAACGGAGTTTTCTTACTGTCATGCTTAAGAAAGTAATAAGCCATTTCCTGTAGAATTTACCTACCCATGTTAATGGCACAGAAAAGAAAACTTGACAAAGGTCTTGGGACAAATTCATTCATCCACTATAGTTTTACTGAAAAATCTGGGAAATTACGTGAGCCAAGATTCAGTAACTTTGACAAGAACAATTCCAACTTAGACCTGATTAATAGACCAGGAATCCAGCCTGAAAAAACTGCTTTCTTGATGATGATAAATGAAAAAACCAGGAGTCTTTCTGAACCCCTACACAGATAGCCAGGGGTGCTATGCTAAAATAAAAAGGGACAATATGAAGACAATGCACCAAGGAAAAAGTAAAGAAGAAAGGCTGAAGACCCAAAAGGCCAGATCTTGGGATGTCACTTGCCTGAAAATCCTACCTCCCTGGGTTACAGGAGGGGCAACACACAACAAGGCAGTCTCCTGTTTCAGGTGACATTGGATCCGTTTTAAACAAACACAACTTACACACAGTAGTATCAGAGGAAAATAACTACAAACAGACTGGCTTTTTAGGAAAAATACTTATTTTATCCTGAGCTAAGAAAAGGCCATAAAACTTACAGAGAAAAACTAATGAAAAGAAGTGAACCAATATACTCTGACTTCTTGGTTCCAAATGCAAGTTTGTCCAGCATCTATATCTCCTTCCTCAGTAAGATGAATAAAAAAAAATACTCTTACTCTCCATGAGGAGGAAAAATTTATGCCATGTATAAATCAGGGGCTCTCAAATGGGGATGCTTTCACTCCTGAAGGAATATTTGACACTTTCTAGAGACATTGGACATTTTCAGTTGTCACAGCTGGGGGGAGGAGGTATTACTGGCAACTAAGGAAGTGCTAAACATCCTATAATACATAGGTCAGACTCTACAACAAAGAATTGTCTGGTCTAAAATGTCAATGGTGCCAGGGTTGATAAACTCTGCTATAAACTTCTCTAGAAATCTAAATTAGTTCTGAATAGCTCAAAGCCTACCTAAACTATGCATTAAAGAACACTTTAAAATACTTGGCAAGCAAAATCAACTAGAAAGCCAAAGGTACATACAAAGGGAATAAATACTCGGGTGTCAAATCCAGATCATCATCATAACCAAATCGTCGAAGCACAGTCCAAGTAGTTTCGTGTCTCCCTCTCTGGATAAAAAGTGTGTGTAAAAATAGAAAACCTGAAATAAAATAAATCAGTAAGCACAGCTGATGTGAGTAGGGTACTACGTAACAAGGGAGAAAAACATAACATGTAATGGTAAGAGCTAGAATCATGAACATATGATTTCACATGTCCAAGGTCAAATCAAAACAAGGTTCACAAGTTTCTCAATGAAAAAGAGCTGACTTCAGAATCATTTCATATATACACCCAGGTCAGCAGAGATGGCAATGGATAAAAGGGCCAAAAATGCATCCCAAGGAAAACACCAACATTCACAAAGTTATATGATAAAAATAAATGAAATCATTTTATAGATCCTTGAACTTATTTCTATAATGGAAAACTGTGGTTTTCAATTTCATTTCTTGTTTCACTGTGGCTCAATAATATATTCTACAAGGAACATTTTGTACTTGGTAAATGTGACTGGTAGGCAAAATGTCTGTCCTAAAAATAATTTCTCTTTAAAGGACGCTTTTAAGTAGTAAGAATTTTAAGATAAATTTGTCCCAGAAATCTCTGCCCCTCAGATGGACCTCTGCATTCCTAACATCTGAGCAATTTCCCCACCTCTAATTTACGCTGACAATAAGGTAAATTATCTCCATCAATGGCCTGTCTCTTAATAACGAAGTTAGATCTTAGGCTTATCAGTAAATATTAACATTTCCTTAAAGTATACATAATGCTATAAAGACCTTCACCTTCTGCCAATGTTTGAAAACATGAAGTTTAAAACGGGGTAAGACACCATTCACTCACCTTTCAATGTCAATCCACTGTCAGCCACACCATCACTTATATGTTTCCGGACTACATTCTTGACATCTTCCAGAGCTTGGGGAGCTAATGGAGTATTGAAACAAATTCTCTAGCAAAAACATAAAAATAAATTTAAAAACAAAATAGCATTAAAACCACAAATAATATAAAACATTAATCTACAAAACAACATTAAATCAGTTGTAACTAAAAATAAAACCCAAATTCTAAATTAGGATAATTTCTGCTTTGCATTATTTATTTAAAACACGTCATAGGTCAAAAGAAAGAATCTTTCTCTACTCTCTCCATTGCATTTGTAAAACACAGAGCTCTTTGTGTACCCATGTTATACAAAACCAAGAAAAAAAATAATTCAGAATTAACCTTCAAGTCATATTTAATACATACATTGTTTACCATGAAATGATACCATTTAAGAGTCTCCTCAATTCCTATCCATAGGAGAGTTTTTTATACCCCAGGTGAAGACTTAAATAGCTAGATGGGAAACATTTTTCTATGAAAGAGACATGCTTATCAACATAACACTGTTTAAGCTAATAATATTTTTATAGCTTTTCTCGGCAAGAAACTCCCCAAGACACAGAAATGCCTAAAGAAGAGGGCTACCTGAAAGAAGTTGAGTTCAGCATCATTGAGAGTGCCATCATTATCTTGATCAGATATTTTAAATATACGAGTGAGGGCTTTTATACAGGCTGGTTTCATCTATACATCATCAAGAAAAGAAACAATTATGTTAATTAAGACAATTGGAATTTCAAAATATAATTTTTTATGCTTTTATTTATTTATTCATGAGAGAGAGAGAGGCAAAGATATAGGCAGAGGGAGAAGCAGGTTCACTTTAGGGAGCCTGATGCAGACCCCAGGATCACGACCTGAGCCAAAGGCAGACGCTCAACTGCTGAGCCACCCAGGTGCCCCAAAATGTGACTTTCATAAGTAATTTTTTAAAATTTTTATTTATTTATGATAGTCACACACAGAGAGAGAGAAAGAGAGAGAGAGAGAGAGAGAGAGAGGCAGAGACAGGCAGAGGGAGAAGCAGGCTCCATGCACCGGGAGCCCGCGTGGGATTAGATCCCGGGTCTCCAGGATCGCGCCCTGGACCAAAGGCAGGTGCTAAACCGCTGCGCCACCCAGGGATCCCTTTCATAAGTAATGTTAAGAATAATTCTGATCAGGGGTGTCTGCGTGTCTCAATTGGTCATGAACCTGCCTTTGGCGCAGGTCATGGTCCTCGGGTCCTAAAATGGAGCCCCAAGTCAGGCTTCCTGAGACCCTGCTTCTCCCCCTCCCTCTGCTCCTCCCCCCAGAGCTTACACTTTCTCTCGCTCTCAAAATCTTAAAAAGAATAATCCTGATTGTTTTCCACTATTAAGTACATAACATCAAATACAGCATGAAAAATGAACTAAAGTAAAGCCATTTACTTTTATACTCAAAGTCTTTTTAAGTAAAGAGGTACTATTTACTTGGACCAATATATAGAACGGTCAAATTCTGCCCCTGGTGATCATAAATTCCCTGAGAATAAGCAAAAAAGAAGTTCATCATTAGAGAGAAGATCTATTCTTCCAGTCATATAGAAAATAAGTATTTTTTTAAAGATTTTATTTATTCATGAGAGACACAGAGAGAAAGAGGCAGAGACACAGGCAGGAGGGAGAAGCAGGCTCCATGCAGGGAGCCTGATGCGGGATTCAATCCAGGGACTCTGGGATCACACCCTTAACCAAAGGCAGATGCCCAACCGCTGAGCCATCCAGGCATTCCAGAAAGTATTTATGTTCTCCTTCATCCTATAAAGAATTTGAACTGTCTATAAAACTACTAAGGGCTTTTTCCTTCCCAATTTCTGATCCCCCCCGCCCCCAACTTTACTGATATATAACCAACTTATGATTTTTGACCAACCTTCTGGTAGAAGAATGAGACTAAATGTTTTGGTCTCGTGTGTGTGTGTGTGTGTGTGTGTGTGTGTCAAAGTTAGGAATTAAATGTGTAAATGTGTTTATTCACAAACACGTGGCAAAAGTATAAAAAGCCTTTTATTAACTTATTTTAAGAATTACTTGCATTTAAAAAAGAATCTTCCCTTTTGTTATTATTTTTTATTTTTTTATTTATTTATGATAGTCACAGAGAGAGAGAGAGAGAGGCAGAGACACAGGCAGAGGGAGAAGCAGGCTCCATGCCGGGAGCCCGACGTGGGATTCGATCCTGGGTCTCCAGGATCGCGCCCTGGGCCAAAGGCAGGCGGTAAACCGCTGCGCCACCCAGGGATCCCGAATCTTCCCTTTTGTGACTCTAAAACTTTTCTAAGTAATGCTGCTGGAAATATATTGTGTCAACTTCCTTAATTTTGTCTTAGGATATGCAACAGAACACATATTTTACTATTTAAAAATAAGGCCTACATGCTTCTGATTTATATAATTACTATAGGATAACCACTGTCAACTATTTTGAGAAAATAAAACTTTCAGGAAGGTCTCTAAACAGTATAAATCTAGGAGGAGATCTCTTATGGACATTCTGAATCAGAGAAATAAAGATGGCAAAGTAAGGAAATGTGTACCTGTGAACTGTACCACTATCTAGAGTAAATAGCAATGATGAGTTTTTATCATGCTATCAAACTAAATTCAGAAATTCTTTTTTTTTTTTTTTAGATTTTATTTATTTACTTGAGAGAGAGCAAGCTAGAGAGAGCACAAGTGGGAAGTGGAGAGGGGAAGGGGAGAGGGAGAAGCAAACTCTCCACTGAGCAGGGAACCCAAGGCAGGGCCCGAACCCAGGACCCTGGGATTATGACCTGAGCCGAAGGCAGACATCTAACTGACTGAGCCACCCAGAAATTCCCTAAAAATTGGGAACACTTATCTTCTCAAACACATACACACAATCTCTTATTTTGTTTTAAATAAGGTCTCTAGGAGAGCAATTTGATCTAATGAGACAAAGATAAAACCTATGATATAAAGAGATTGTAAAGAATTGAAAAAAGTTAAGTAAAAAAGAAACCATTTGATATGGCCTCCATACCATTTGATATGGTAAAATGAGTATTATTAAATAGGTTATAAGCTAGAAAGTCTACAATCATGGGTGATTTCTTAAAGAATGGTAAGATATAACTTCTATAAATGTGATCCTAACATTAGATATTCAAAATTAATAAAGATGAGATTGTTTTGATTCTCCTTTTAAAAACCTGTTATATAGGGATCCCTGGGTGGCGCAGCGGTTTGGCGCCTGCCTTTGACCCGGGGCGCGATCCTGGAGACCCGGGATCGAGTCCCACATCGGGCTCCCAGTGCATGGAGCCTGCTTCTCCCTCTGCCTGTGTCTCTGCCTCTCTCTCTCTCTCTGTGACTATCATAAATAAATAAAAATAAAATAAAAAATAAAAAAAATAAAAACCTGTTATATAACCTAAATGTTTCAAAAAGTAGCAAGAGCTAGAATGATGTAAAAAATAGAATCTAAAAATAACTTTATTTTGTACAAGTGGTTTTTCCTCATATCATAAAAAGCTACATTAAACAACAGGTAATTTGGAGAAAAATAAAATGATGCATTTTTCATTAAAGCTTGAAATGCATCAGAAGCTAAAGTGGTCTAAGGTACTGCCTCAATACAATATCTAAATAGTAACTACCTTAAAATATAACACCAAAATATGACTATGTTTAAAAGGTATTAAAAATATATTTCAATAAAGCTGTAAAAAATTTTTACAGTAATAAAAAATTCATTTTGCGTATGAGTAATTGAAATCCTCACAGAATAAACATTATACAAGTCACATCTTTTTCATTATTGGGTAAGCAGAGGACTCCATGGGCCATACAGGGTCCATCATCACAAATTAATTTTGAATTAGTCATCAGCCTTCAATCTCAAATATTACTTTTTTTATGATTACACCTCAAATCTATGGTAAAAGTTTATTTTTTGTAAGCTTATTTATTTTTGAGGGAGGGAAGAGAGAGAGAGCGCATAGAGCGCATGCGTGCATGTGCCCATTAACTGGGGTGGAGGGGCAGAAGGAGAGAATCTTAAGGCTCTGCACTGAGCCTGGAGCCGGACCAGGGCTGGATCTCACAACCCTGAGATCATGACCTGATCTGAAATCAAGAGTTCAATGTACTGAGCCACCCAGGCGCACCCCTCCCTCCGTTAAAAGTTCATTATTGTTGGGGCACCTGGCTGGCTCAGTTGGTAGAGGGTACAGTTCTTGATCTCGGGGTCCTGATTTCCAGCCCCATGATGGGTGTAGAGCTTACTTAGAAAAAAAGTTTATTATTGTCTAAATAAACGGTTCTGGTATAAGCTTAGAATCAAAGCTTATACTTGTCTAAAGCAAGGTTTAATCTTTAAAAAGTTACACACTTTATCTCAGACAAGTCCCCCTAAGAAATAAGTAACAGATGGTGGTAGATGTTTTACTCTCTGGGACTGGGGGAGGGGCAGAGGTGATAAACGGATTAGGACTAATAATAAGCCTAGGAAAAAAGTAGCAATTAAAGCACTGCATAGTCTATTATAATAGAGGGGATTTAATGCACCACTAGGCCAAAGCCTCAGGTAAATCTCTACAGTACAACTTTCCCAAATTTCCTTGATCATAAAATATGGTGCCTGAGTGAATCAGAATGGAACTGGTGTTTTTAATAAGTGTGCCTAGTGACTTTTATGAGGCAAATTAGGGAAATAGTGGACTAAGAATAAATTAAAAAGAAGCACTCCAATTATGGAACAGTAAACCAAGATTAAGGAAGAGTATATCAGGGTCAGATTAAGGGATAATTTAGATTAATTACATATACCAGTGGTCAGCACTTTTTCTGTGAAGAGCCACCCAGCAAATATTTTAGACTTTGGGGGCCAACAAGCAAAATCAAGAGTATTATGAAGGTACTTATATAGCAAGAGAGAGTCAAAATTCCATAAAGTTTTTATTGACAGAATTCAAAATGTGATATTATAGTAATAATATAAATTTGCTATACAGGTTTACTAATAAGAAAAATGGGATTCTTTTGGGAGGAATACCATTTGGTTTAATTAGGGTTCAGCATTAGTGTTCTCTATCATGAAGACTGAAAATGTTCACCTGTTAATGCTGGTCTGCAATGAGATGTTACATATTTCATTTTTGAAAATCATTCTGTAGATACATATGGCCAATACTGACACATATCCATAAATATGTAATTTTAATTGAGCATATTAACTGCTTGGAAGACATTTATAAAATCAGATTCTTGATATTTTCCCGTTAGCATGTCATTATACTACAGATTGATCAACTCCCAATTGAAGGTTAGGTGGAAGCTCCTCAAGTGCACAGTCAAGTGGATTATGAAATATGGAAATTTCCTTTGCATTTGCACCAAAGTCCTCCCAAAAACAATGCTGGAACTGGAGTTTGAGCTCAGAAGATATATCTGCTTTGTCATAGATTTCTTTTCTTGTTTTGACATGCTACGTAATAGCATGATAATAAAATGATAAAATACTATGGCATTGTGGCACCAGTACTCACACTATTAAGTTATAACTGTGTCAGTGCAATCAGCAGTGCCTCGAGCAGCAGTGAGAAGTGAGAGTACCACACACAGGCTATTGCAGCTACTCAACTCTGCCTTTGCAGCATGAAAGCAGTCACAGATAAACATAAATGAACAAGTGTGGCTGTGTTGCAATAAAATTTTATTTATAAATGATGATATTTGAAAGTCATATAATTTTCCTATATAACAAAATATTATTTCTTCGAATTTTTTTTCAATCATTGAAAAATGTATAATATATTAATTCTTAGCTCACAGGCTATACAAGAACAGGTGACAGGCCAATTTGGCCCACAGGTCAAAGTCTGCCAACCACTGATACTATAAACTTTTCCTGGAAAAATCTGCAACTTTTTATTTCTTAAAAACTCAACAATAAAAAGGTAACTCAATTAAGACATGAACAATGACTTAAATAAACATTTCTCCATATACAAATAGCCAATAAGCATGTGAAAAAGATGTTCAACGTCATTAGGCATCAGGGAAATCCAAATCAAAACCACCGTCACCACCAGGATGGCTATAATAAACCACACACACACACACATACACAGGAAAATAACAAGTATTGGCATAGCAAATACATGCAGAAATCAGAACCTGCCATTTAGTTTGGTGATTCCTCAATAAATTAAACAGAACTATCATGTGACTTAGCAATTCCACTCCTCAATATACACTCAAAAGAAATGAAAACAGGTATTCAACTTTCATATGAATGTTAAAAGCAGCTCTATTCACAATTAAAAAAATGGAAACAATCCACATGTCAATCAACAGATGAATGAATAAAACTATGACATGTGGTATAGCCATACAAGGAAGTATTATTTATCCATAAAAAGACACGAAATGCTGATCCATGCTACAACACAGATGTATGATGAAAACATTATGTGAAGTGAAAGAAGACAGACAGAAAAAGAAAAGACTGCCTATTTCATGATTGCATTTATATGAAATGTTCAGAATTGGCAAATTCATAGACAGAAAGTAGATTAGTGGTTGCCAAGGGCTGGGGAAAGGAGAATGAAGTGACTGCTAATGAGTTCAAGGTTTCTTTCCTGGGGTGGTAAAATGTCCTGGAATTAGACATTTGGGGTGGTTGTAGATGTGTAAGTTTGTGAATATACTAGCTAGCAATCACTAAACTATATACTTTAAAAGGATGAATTTTGCGATATGTGAGTTATATCTCACTAAAATTAACTTTTAAACTCTATGGTAGGGGTGCCTGGGTGGCCCAGTCAGTTGAGTGGCCGACTCTTGGTTTCAGCTCAGGTCATGATCTCAGGGTTCTGGGATCGAGTCCTGCATCAGGCTCTGCGCTCAGCATGGAGTCTGGTTATGGATTCTCTTTCTCTCTCCCTCTGCCCCTTCTCCAGTGCATGCACACTGTCTCTCTCTCTCTCTCTCAGTCACTCGCTCTTTCAGTCGCTCCCTCTCTCTCCTTCCTTCTCAAATAAAAAAATAAATCTTAAAAAAAGGTCTATGGCAAACAGGTGAAGGGGATTAAGGGTACATTTATCACAATGAGCACTGAGTAATGTAGAGAACTGCTGAATCACTATTGTATATCTGAAATTAACACATCACTGTATGTTAATTATACTGGAATTAAAAAACAAATGCATATTCTTTTTTAAAAAAAGAAAAAAGTCTATGGCAAATATTGTTAAATTTAGATATTATTGTGTTTAACTATGAAACAAAAAAGAGTATTCAAATTGTGTTACATGTTGTTCCTGTGTCCAATCATTACACAAGGTTTTCATTTGTAATGTGTTTTTAAGCTTGTGAACTCTATACTAAGAAAGTAAGTAGACCACTAGGTAAGTCTTCAGACTTATTTTTGCCAATTCTTCTGTTTGTTTAATGACATTTCCTGAAAAATTATTTGATCTGGAATACTATTCATAGTATTAACATGAATGTCTTTGCAGTACCTAGAAAATGTAATTATTTAATAGACAATATATTTAAATTTCAGCAGTTTAGAAGGGTACTCAATAGTTACTAAAAATCAATACTAAGGTTACTCCCTACATATTCCAGCCCCTACTAACACACCCTGGGGGGCCAGGGATTACCTCCTTCTCCTCTGGGCAGTACAGGGGCCCAGTAGGATGAAGAACAGCTTTCTGTGCATAATAAAAGAGCTCTGATATGTTCTTCAGGTTTTTTGCTGAACACTGGAAAAAAAAAGTTCAAAATTTTATATTCTGAAAGCAATTATGGGCACTAAAAACAATTTTTAAACTATCAATATAAGGTAATAAGGTTGCTTAAAGAAACTGAAAAATACATTTTTCTTTGTTGCTATCACAATGTCTACAAAGAACTCAGAGGCCAATTCCAAGTCCTTTGCTATATTTGGTTTACATGACTTCACAAACAGCAGGAAATTTACTCCATCCCACTCCTTCCCACATCCTATTTCAAACCTTGGTTTAGTGAGAATTCACCAGCAGCAATCACATGGTCATACCTCCACACAGGTTTCTATTTCTGTGTACTGGTTCATAATGGGAAGGATGGTCTCCATACTACTATATTCCACTAGATCAGATTTGTTCCCAACCAGTATCAAAGGCAACCTGAAATAAAAAGGATACACTGCAATAATAAGGAAGTTTGCAGAAGACCTTAAATATTTTAAAGTATACAATAACCCATTCTAATTAGCTTTACTTAATCCCCCCAACATGAACCCTCTACTGTAGTCAGTTCTAGTCCCCTAGACAGTATGTTCATATTCAACAAATATTTACTGAGTACTTCTTAAATTTTTAAATTTTTAATTATTTTTTATTTTTGAAAGATTTTATTATTTATTCACGAGAGACAGAGAGTGAGACAGAGACATAGGCAGAGGGAGGAGAAGCAGGCTTCATGCAAGAAGCCCAATGCAGGACTCAATCCCAGACCCCAGGATCACGTTCTGAGTGAAGGCAGACGCTCAACCACTGAGCCACCCAGGTGTCCCTTAAAATTTTTTTTTTTTAATTTTTATTTATTTATGATAGTCACACAGAGAGAGAGAGAGAGAGAGAGGCAGAGACATAGGCAGAGGGAGAAGCAGGCTCCATGCACCGGGAGCCCGACGTGGGATTCGATCCTGGGCCTCCAGGATTGCGCCCTGGGCCAAAGGCAGGCGCTAAACCACTGCGCCACCCAGGGATCCCTTAAAAATTTTTTTAAAGTTAATTTATGTTCTTCAGTAATCTCTATGCCCAACATGGGACTTGAAATCAAGATCCTGAGGTTAAGAGTCCAAGTTGCTTTTCTGATTGAGCCGGTCAGACATCCCTACTGAGTACTTCTTATAAGCCAGGTACTGTTCTAAGCATTAAGGATACAAGACAGACAAGGTCCCTACTCATGCTAAACTGAAAATCAGAAAATGAACAAAAGTAAATAAACAATACACTTTCCAATTCTGTAAGTGCAATAAAGAAAGTAAATAAGGGGATATGCAGCAGAGTAATGGGAGGGCTAATTATACAGGAATCAGAGGGAAATCTCCCTGACAAGGTGGCATTTGGGTCAAAGAGTAAAGGCTGAAACGGAATATGCACTGTGAAGAGCCAGAAAAGAGCTGTGGAGAAGCTGTACAGTGTGTACAAAGGGCTCAAACTGAAAAAACATTCTGGTGAGTCCAAAGAACAGAAAAATGTCAGAGTGGCTGGAGTGCTAAACAAAGGGGAATAGGTGTGTAAAGGGGTTGGAAGGAGGAGCAAAGGTCAGATACATAAGCTGTGGTAAGGAGTATGCATTTTATTATAAGTATAAAACAGGAAGCCACTGAAGAATTATGAGAGGGGTACAACATGACTGGGTCAACATTTTTTAAGATTTTATTTATTTACTCATGAGAGAGACACAAAGAGAGAAAGGCAGAGACATAGGCAGAGGGAGAAGCAGGCTCCGTGCAGGAAGCCAGATGTGGGACTCAATCTCAAGACCCCAGGATCATGCCCTGAGCCGAAGGCAGACACTCAACCACTGAGCTAGGATCAACATTTTAAAATGAGTCATATGGTGTCTTTCAGAGATACATATTGAAATATTTACAGTACGATTTGTTCAGAATGATCCAATGGGAGGGGTAATAAATGAAACAAGACTGGCCATGATAGTGACAGACATTTTTGATTAATGTGTGGATATCCACCTAAAGAAATATCTCTAAATTTGTGCTTCAGTATATTATTTCCCATTTTCTCAATTCTTGTATTAAAAATGTATAAAACATACTAAATAGATACTAAAAAGAAAAAAATACAAGTAAGAAAAGTAAAATTATCAAGTAGAAAAATGGGCAATGATCAAGAAATATTTTAACACATACTCAAAACAAAACAAAGACTGGCCATGAATTGAGGCTGGTGACAGATATACAGATGATATAGAAAGATGATCCTCTTTACTTCTGAATGTGTCTGATTTTTTTTCAATAATAAAAAGCTTTTTAAAATGTGCTGGCCTGGGGATCCCTGGGTGGCTCAGTGGCTTAGTGCCTGCCTTTGGCCCAAGGCGTGATCCTGGAGACCTGGGATCGAGTCCCACATTGGGCTCCCTGCATGGAGCCTGCTTCTCCCTCTGCCTGGGTCTCTGCCTTTCTCTCTCTCTCTCTCATGAATAAATAAATAAAATCTTAAAAAAAAATGTGCTGGCCTGGATTAGAGCAGTAAAGATGGAGAGAAAGTATTCAAATTTGAGATATATTTTAGAAGTAGAACTAATAGGGCAGCCTGGGTGGCTCAACAGTTTAGTGCCACCTTCAGTCCAGGGCGTGATCCTCGAGACCCAGGATCGAGTCCCACGTCAGGCTCCCTGCGTGGAGCCTGTTTCTCCCTCTGCTTGTGTCTCTGCCTCTCTCTCTCTCTGTGTATCTCTATGAATAAATAAATAAAATCTTAAAAAAAAAAAGTAGAATAGGAACAACTGGTAGATAAAATCTTAAAAAAAAAAACAACTGGTAGATAAAATCTTAAAAAAAAAAGTAGAATAGGAACAACTGGTAGATTACATATGGAGGTTGAGGGCAAGGCAGAAATCAAGAAAAACACATAGGTTTCTGGCTGGACAAAATGAGTAGGCCTCCTGAGATAGAAAAGGGGGGGGTTAGTGGGGAGCAGGCAGGGAATTAAAGATTTTGTTTTAAACAGATTAAATCTGACAGTCCTATGAGAAATCCTAATGGGGATTATCAAAGAGAGCTAGTCTAGTAGGGAACTGTTATTTGTATGACCTACAGAGAGCTTGGAGAGAAAGCAAATCATCTTGCTGAAACTCCAGATAGCAACAGAAATTCTTGCAAGCATTTATTTACCCCTTACAATGATCATGCATAAAGGGACTATATATATAGTCTGTATCTATATAACCCACATCTATATAACCCAAATATAGATTCCTAAAAAAGCCAGGAGGGTCTCTCCAAAAATGTAGTGGTTTGCAACTAAAGGTGTGCACAAAATAATTAACAGAGCTTAAAAAAATACACATGTCCAAGCCCTACTCCAAACCTACAGATTCTAAAACTCCAGGGGTGGGGCAAAGGCATCTACATTCTTTGAAAATACCTGAGGTGACACTAATGGGCACACCTGAATAAGAACCACTATGCTACCAGTCCAAGGAAGTCCTAAGGAAAAATATTTGTGCAATAAATATAAACTTAGGCTCAGGAAAGAAGTTATTGGGAAAGTGTAAGGTCCGTATAGTAAAGAAACAGGGTGCCTGGGTGGCTCAGTCAGTTAAGCATCTGCCTTCAACTCAGGTCATGATCCCAGGGTCCTGGGACCAAGCCTCACATCAGGCTCCCTGCTCAGCAGTATGTTTCTCCCTCCTCCCACTCGTGCTCTCTCTCTCTCTCACTCACTCTCTCTCAAATAAATTCAAATCCTTAAAAAAAGATTTAAAAAAAAGAAACAGCCCCTCTTGGGACAAGTCAACCACAAGAAAAATAATTATGTTTATATGATTCAGAGAGGGAAAAAAACAGCTACACCTAAGAAAGCTCAACTTGATCTTTGAATGTCAAAAGCTACTTTCAGATGATACCAAAAGGGCCACAGAATTCACCACAGAATTTTAGGAAGCTATCATAGTGAAACTGATTTAATTCAGGAGTCCAATCTGATGCTTGATAGATCCCAGAAAAACTGCCTTCTCTGAAAAGTCCCTTCTGAAAACAGCTCCAGTGTTCAGCAAGAAGAGCAAGTGTCAGGAGCGTATAGCTGTGAACTCCTCCAAGGCAGCCTATCTGATACTCCCTTCTGTGTGATGGAAATGATCTCTATCTGTACTGCCCATTACTGTAACCATTAGCCACAAGTAGCTAGTGAGCGCCTGAAACGTGGCTATTCCTAGGAATTGAAATTTTAGTTGGATTTAATTTTACTTAATTTGAAGTTAAATCGCCACAACTAATTAGAGTCTACTACTACTATTAAATTGAAATTTAACTAGTAGTCTACTACTACTACTACTACTACTATTGTAGGACAGTACAATTTCTCAGGTCATTGTCTCCTTTTTACCTTGTCAGGAAGTCACATCAAAGTTTAAAACTATGACAAAGAGGAGCCTTCAGAGCTGTGAGACATAGCATATAAAATGCCATCTCAGTCACAAAGTCTCCCTCCATAAATACATGAGGCAGGGCCAATGACCATGTTCATCTGTTAAGCACCAGATCTTTACAGTTTCAAGGCACAAAAATGTCCAATCAAAAGAGAAATCTAGGGCAGCCTGGGTGGTTCAGCAGTTTAGCGCCACCTTCAGCCCAGGGTGTGATCCTGGAGTCCCGGATCAAGTGCTGCATCAGGCTCCCTGCATGGAGTCTGCTTCTCCCTCTGCCTGTGTCTCTGCCTCTCTCTGTGTGTGTGTCTCTCATGAATAAATAAATAAAATCTTTAAAAAAAAAGAGAGAGAAATCTAAAAAATTAAATAAAGGACGAAATGTGTACAATACACAGTTATTAATGTGACTTCCCTAATGTTTAAAAATGCCTCATAAATAACACATGTTCCATTAAATAATATTGCAAGAAATATTTTTAGTTTACATTTTGACTTAAAACTTGAAACGTTTATATCCAGAACTATCACCCTGCTCAGAAAAATATAGAAGATGTGTTCTCTTACTTCTTCCCATCACATATATACCTTCCAAAGAATTTCAAAGAAATTTCCCTCTCTGCATTCCTAAATAAAGATCTCTAGTGATCTCTAGAGAACTTATAAAGCATGTACACGTGTGTTATTTCACTGCCTTCTCAAAATTACCACATGCAGCCAAGACAGGCATTAGTGTCTTCTCCACTACAGACGAGGAAGTAAGGCTCAGTCAAGTCAAATGGGTAAGTCAGATCTCAAAGAGCACTTGTTTTCCTCCCAGTCCCATGACATCATACACACCACCTTGTGAGCAATCAGTGACAAGGTGAAGCCGTTCCTCACCCAAGTAGCATTTCCACAGAGAAGGTACAACCTATACAAGTGAAGAGGAATTCTAAAGTGGAAACTTTTTTTTTTTTTTTTTTTTTAATTTATGATAGTCACACACAGATAGAGAGAGAGAGGCAGAGACACAGGCAGAGGGAGAAGCAGGCTCCATGCACCGGGAGCCCGACGTGGGATTCGATCCCGGGTCTTCCAGGATCGCGCCCTGGGCCAAAGGCAGGCGCCAAACCGCTGCGCCACCCAGGGATCCCTAAAGTGGAAACTTCTTAAGCAGTGGTTTGAGAAAGAGAAATAATATAATTACCAAAATAGTTAATGTCTGAAGTTGTAAATCATTATAGTACCAGAACTCTATTTTATGCTTTGCTCCCAAATATATGTGCTGCCTCAAATAATTCCTCCTGAAATCAGTGTGTGTGTATAAATAGAGAAATATCTATAGGTAAAGTAAATGTGGTAAAATGTTAACTAGTGTATTTAAGTGAAGGGTTTACAGGTATTCATTGTACTATTTCTTGCAACTTTTCTCTAAGTTTGAAATTTTTCATTATACAAAGTTCAGGAGGAAAAAAAAAATACCTGCTGTCTTTGTCCGTTCTTTCGTTTATGAGAGGAATCCATCGACTTGTTACCTAAAAAGAAAATTAGTAAGAGCTAAGCCACAATGAGGATCTTCTCTGAAAAATACTCTGCCCTGGGACTGCTAAAATTCTAAACTGAGGATCAATTTTAAAAGAGCCCCCATTGAAATTTAACTAAATATAGTAAAAAAAAGTCACACGTCCATACCTTATCAATAGAATGTTTGTTGTTAACTGCATAAACTATGCAGATGACATTAGCCTACAAGAAAAAAATAAGAAATTAATGTTTTTTGGGGTTTTTTTTAAGATTTTATTTTTTTACTCATGAGAAACAGAGACAATGAGGTAGAGACACAGACAGAGGGAGAGGCTCCATGCAGGATGCCCAACATGGGACTCGATCCCCGGTCTCCAGGATCATGCCCTCGGCTGAAGATGGCGCTAAACCGCTGAGCCACCCAGGCTGCCCTAATGGTATTTTTAAACAAAACAAATGTAAACATTAGCATTTAACTGCCAACTAGTTAATATATTTGGGCCAAAGAAAAAATAAAATTTGAAACCTAAAAAAACCCCCAAACTTTGCATGCCTCAAAGAGGAAAAAGTTCCTAAGGATTTATTGCAGAAATACATACTCAAAGTCAGCAGTAACAACAAAGAATTGAAAAGACCTAAGTCAGAGAATGAAAAAGGTAGTCTCACAAAATCATCACAATTTTCCCACAAAAAAAAAAACCCAACAGCTATTTTCTTTAACTCACCTGTGATATCTCTTGATGAAGCTGTTCATCACTCTGTTCTGCTTCTACAAATGACAAAGTCAAAAAAAGTCCATTATTTTAAAAATTTTCATAAAAACTAATGGCCAAGCTAACTTCTACATGGCATACATCCAACATCCCTCATCTCTTATGTCATTTATATAGTGTAGTGCCAGATGAGGTGGCAAAGACAAGGGCAAGCCAGCAAAAAGAAAGAGCTGGACTATGATAAGGAAGCTGGCTGGCCCTGGAAGACAAGGATAACTCAGGCACAGAAGAGCAGAAGGCATTGTGTGATAAATCTAGGCCAGCATCTGATCCAAAATTGAGAAGGGTCAGGCCAAAGGGATCAGAAACCTAAGCTAGAGGACTAGGTGCTGCAGTCAGAAGCCCAGACAAAGAGTCCATACACACAGGGTCAGAAGGCCAGGTGAGAATCTGGACAATACAAGCTAAGAGCTTGTATCTTGAGAGAGCAAGCCCCAGAAGCAAAACCAAAGCATGATAGTGAAGAGTCAAGAATTCCCTTGCTAGCGCTTATCTCTGGCTGGAATGGGTCTCAAATGGTGGATGTGCATATAACCCTACAGTGCAGGAGATATGCATGATCACAGCTATGATGAAAAAGCATACAAATGAATGGAATGGCATAGTCTTGATTTTGGCTAAGGTCATGATCTCAGGGTCAGGAGATCAAGCCCTGCATCAGGCTCTGCACTCAGTGGAGAGTCTGCTTGAGATTCTCTCCCTTTCCCTCTGCCTCTCCAGCTTGTGCCTGCACTCTCTCTAATAAATAAATAAAAACCTTTTTTTTTTAAAAAAAAAAAAAGCATACAGATGAAGAGGAAAGCAATAACTGACATTAATTTGGATTACCTTATGTTAAATATTTTCCCCAAAAAATGCCTGTTATTTCTGACATACAATAATACCATAAATGAATGCAATAGAATTTTAATTTATGCTAAATAACTGGCCATATCTTAAATATCTTTTCATATGTTGAGTAATCAATGGGTTATGGCTCCAATTCCAATGCTGAAAAAGAGTAATTCTGTAAATGAAGCAGGTTATAAGGCTAACTGCAGCAGAGAGCATCCAACCCCCTCAGCTTTGGGTATAGTGCAATCTAGTAGCCAGACATGCAAGCCACGTATGTCATTTTTAATGTTCTATTAGTCACATTAAAAAAAAACTAACAGGATGGGGTGCCTGGGTGGCTCAAGCATCTGACCCTTGATTTCGGCTCAGGTCATGATCTCAGGGTTGTGAGACTGAGCCCCATGTTGGGTTCCAAACCTGGGCATAGAGCCTGCTTAAGACCATCTCTCCACCTCTCCCTCTGCCCCTCCTCCTTTAAAAAAATTAAAAAGGAACAGGTAAAAGTACATTTTTATTTTACCTAAGATATCAAAAATATTAAAATTTCAACATGTACTCAATGAAAGAATTATTGAGATTTACATTCTTTTTCTCACACCAAGTCTTCTAATTCCACCTGCATTTTATACTTACAGCACATTTCAATTTAGACTAGCCTAGTTTTAAGCATTTTAAGCATTCAATAGTCATAATGTATTGGACTGGGCAGTCCTACAGTCCTAGGTAGGAATTTCACTTTTAGAACATGTGGAATACCAACTTAGGAAAACAAAGTATTGCCAATATAGTTATTCCTTTCTTACAGATTTTATTTTCTAGAGCAGTTGTAAATGCACAGCAAAACTGAGTAGAAAGTACAGAGATTTCCCATATAATTCCTGCCCCACATAGCCTCCCGCATTATGAACATCCCTCATCAGAGTGGTACATCTGTTACAACTGACTCCCAACATGAGGCTCGAACTCACAACCCCAAGATCAAGAGTTGCATGCTTCACTGAGCCAGCCAGACATTCCTTTAAAAAAAAAAAAAAAAAAGAAGTCCCAGAACAAAGCAAAATACTTTAATGATTAAAAAGTCAGTACTAGTGGGTAGAAAAATTTTAAATTATTAAAAACAATACAAATGTGCTTCTGTTACATATAATGTAAGCAAGCTTACAACTGTTTTAACTATTACTTGGGTAGGAGACAAAGGCTGATAAATTAAAAAACAAATTTAGAACTCAACAAATTCTCAAATTCAGAACTCTTTCTGCATCATCAGAGCATTCCTGAATGCCTGGTAACAAAATTAATCCAAAACTTATCTCTGCAAATATGCCAAGTCAAGGAGGGTAGTGATTTATCTACTACTTGTCTTTTTTTTTTTTAAGATTTTATTTATTTATTCATGAGAGACATACAGAGAGAGAGAGAGAGAGAGGCAGAGACAAAGGCAGAGGAAGAAGCAGGCTCCATGCAGGGAGCCTGACGTGGGACTCAATCGTGGGACTCCAGGATCCCACCCTGGGCTGCAGGCAGCACTAAACAGCTATGCCACTGGGGCTGCCCTACTACTTGTTTTTTATCATCTCTCTTTCCTTTTCATTATTATGGAACCCAACTTAGTAAATATGGGACTGAGAACTGCAAGATGGAGGCTTTATAGGGTTATGGGGTAGGGGTTGGCAGGGAGATATAAATGAAACAAGAATAGTAAATGATTATTTACTGCCAAAGAAAAAAACACCTATCCTAGAATATTTTTTAAAGCTCAGTATATATACCTTTCTTGAGGACTATTAAATTAATCCTGCAGCTTCACCCACAAGAGAATATTCATTACCTGAGTAATCTACGATGTGTGTTGGAACTCTCTCAGGGGTGACATCAGCTGGAATGGTAATTTCTTCTGCCCGGGGAGGAACCTTCATTTGCAAACAAATATAGAAAAAAAAAAAAAAACTTTGGATATTATGAATCAAACTTGTTAACAGATCATGTAAATTTGTCTATATATATTAGCCCCTTCCACCCATACCTGTCCTTACAAGATTTATTACACTTTTGCCAATGCTTATTTTTGTGCTTGAACCCATGAGCCTGAGATCAAGACCTGAGCTGAGCTCAAGAGTTGAAAGCTCAACCGACTGAACCACGCAGGTGTCCTAATAAACACTTCTTTTAAAAAAGCATGCACAAAAAAAATAAATAAAAATTAAAAATTAAAAAAAATAAAAAAGCATGCACATTTCTACCTGTGTGGGCATAGGATATATTAAGAATACCTCAGATCTAACACAGCCTACCATAATATTTAAATTAATTGGTATTTCAAATATTTTATTTTTAAACTGCTGTTTTCATTCTATTTTGTTGAATGCTAAAGATATTCTACAAATGACGAATGAAGTTAATCCAAAGCAATCTTCAAATAAAACAATAAATTATCATAGTGAAGGGGAATATAAGGGAAGGGAGAAGAAATGTGTGGGAGATATCAGAAAGGGACACGGAACATAAAGACTTCTAACTCTGGGAAATGAACTAGGGGTGGTGGAAGGGGAGGAGGGCGGGGGGTGGGGGTGAATGGGTGACGGGCACGGAGGGGGACACTTGACGGGATGAGCACTGGGTGTTATTCTGTATGTTGGTAAATTGAACACCAATAAAAATTAATTTATAATAAAAAAAAAACAAAACAATAAATTATCAAAATTATTATCTTCTAGAAGATAACTGATTGGCTACATAAGTCTTGCTTAATGACTGCATTTTCTAGAAAGAGTATATGATTTTTTTTAGCTAATTAAAAACCTCTTATCCACACCCAAGAAGTCTATGCTAAAATGACAAATCTAAACTCAAACTATCACAGAAAACTTTTAAGTATTATACTCCAAGTGATCACATGATGATACACTTCATTTCCCAAATTAAGTAATTACTTAAGAGGAAAAAAAAGCAAAAGAAACAATGAATGGTTCATGTGGCACTTGTAATTGTTGAAAACACTACCATATATCAAATTCCTGTCTGCACAATGAAATTATACAGATACCCTAACTAAACAAGAGTAAAGACAGGGGAAATGCAAACTGTGAGGCTATAATACCAGTTTTATGAACAGGATAAAGAGAAACAACGTCCATCCCATTTGCACCCATCCTGTTCCCCAAACAAAATTCTAACTTTACATAGGGCCTTAGCCAATGGTCCCTCATTTTGAACACAAATAGATTGCCAGTAATCATAAAACCACCTTACTTTTGGTGTTACTCTACTATTATGAAGCTTATCTCATTTGAGACACATTATAATCATTTGAGGTAGACAGAGGTGGGGTGAATTAGTTTCTTCATTTATAAAATGTAAAATGATGCAAAAATTAAAGGTTCTCAAATATGTGAGTTAAAATCCTAGAGGTTCTGAAGTCTCAAAGACTGGGGAGTGTCAGATGGAAGGCAGGTGGGCAGCCAGCCAAACATTTCATCTTTATTTCAACTAAAGGAATATTCACCTGTTTTATGTTTTGGGCTTATGAATAACATATTATTTTTAAGAAAGGATTAATAGCTTACATGATCTCTAATATCCCTTCCAGCTCCCATTTTACAAATGAGATAACTAAGGCACAGAGATGACAAATGTCCTAGCTAAGATCAAAAGGAGGAAGAGCAAACAATTAGGTAAACTCAGATCTAGTTTGATTCTAGCTCCTGCAGTACATTGCAGGGATGTTTTGTATAAACTAGTATGAGCTCTTTTAAAGTCACAACTGTCAGAAAGGAAACACATGCCAATTAAAAAAAAAAAAAGCAGAATTTATTTCACTTTAGGCTCATTTTTGATAAATTTAAAAGACTTTAGATACAGAAAAGAAATAAAAATATTTACCTCTTCTGGGAATTCTTCACTGACCAGAGACATAATCAGTGATGTCTTCCCAACTCTAGCTGTGAAAACAAACATCATTATTTTAATAATAAAATGTTTGGGTACTACGTAAGCTCAAATTCAGCAACAACACAGCAGAGTCTGTCACCCATTAGCCAAAATCAGAGGCATCCAAATCACCAAGTTTTAGCACAATGCTTAAAGTATATCCTTTTCTGCTTAAATCTCCTTGTTTAAAACAAAACAAAACAAAAATTACCAAAATAAATAAAAGTAAAAATCTTCCCCCAAATTCCTCTTTACCAGTTTAATACATGTAGTCTCCCAGATTTTTTTACTTATATTAACATATTATAATAATTCACCACATAGTTCAATAATAGAATCCTGGTATTCATATTACTTTACAATCTTCCATTATCATTTAATTATATCCTTGGGCAGTATTCCATGTCCGTATGTAAAAATCTCCTGGGAAGGGTAAAGGGACAGTTATTATGTAATGGACACAAACCTTTTATTGGGGATGATGAAAGAGTTTTAGATAGAAAAAGTGCTGTTGATTACACAACACTGTGAATGTATTTAATGTCCCTTAACCATACTCTTAAAAATGGTTAACATGTCAAATCATATGTCTTATATATTTTATCACAATTTAAAAAATAGCAAAGAGAAATCCATTTCTTTTTTAAATGACTGAAAGAAAACAGTGACTAAAAACACAAGTCAGTCTCTGGAAAAACAACAAATGGCTGGAAAAAAGAGTACTGGTCAAAACAACTTAGAGGGTATGCTGCAAACAAGTATAATGCCACTAGTAAAAGGACAGAGTGGATGGTTTGACAGGTATCTCCTGGTTCCAGTTTTTTTTTTAAAGATTTTATTTAATTATTCATGAAAGACACAGAGAGAGGCAGAGACAGACTGAGGGAGAAGCAGGCTTCCTGCAGGACTCGATCTCGGGACCCTGAGATCATGACCTGATTCTGGCTCCAGTTTCTGGGGATCTTTTCAGCTTATTTTCAAGTAGCTGACTATAAGATAACATTTCCCTGAATTCTGACCATGTCAGTGAATCAGAGCCCATCATCACAGAACTGCTGGACTCTGGTTATCAATGTCAGCTTATCCAGCTCCCTGCAAAAATTTTCAGATGGAGAACCTGGGATCCAGAAACAGTGATTTTCTCAAGATCTCACTAAAGATTAGCTGCAGATTTAAGATGAAAACCCATCTTCTGACTAAGCCAGTGTTCTCTTTCTTATGACACACTTTAAGAAAATATTGTTAAAACAATAATACAGAGAGGGAATGATGGCCCCTATGGTCAGCAAACACTACATACACAAATACTATATAAATTAATTAAATATTCAATGATTCACTAGTGACTAATCCAGGAGCTCTAGGTCCAGTTTTTTGGGTTTTTTTTTTTTAACTCACTGTGAGAAAGTATCAGACTTACAGAAAAATTGCAAAACTAATACAAAGAAGTCATCTCTATTCTTTAACCAAAATCCTCAAATGTTAACATTATACCATATTTGCATTATCATTCCTTTCCTCTCCCTCCCCCGACTCCATGTATTTTTAAACCATTTAAGAGTAACTTATAGACATGATGCCCCTTTACCCTTAAGCGCCTTGTATGTATTTCCTAAAAACAAGATCATTCTCTTCTATAACCATGGTGTAGTGTCAAGATCAGGAAATTAACACAATGCTATTATCTACTGTTGACCTGACTTCACATCTCATCATTTGTCCCATTACCATCTTTCATAGAAAAGAAAAATCTTTCTCGCCAGGATCAAATATTGCATTTGGTCATCACATCTCTTTAGTCTCTAGTCTGGAAGAATTCCTTAGTGGTTTTTATCTTTCACAGCTTCAACATTTTTAAAAAAAAATACAAGTCATTTAATTTGTAGACTCTCTCTCAATTGGGTTTGTATGATATCACCTCATGATTAATTTCAGGTTTTGCACTCTGAGAGGAATGCCCCAGAAATGATACTGTATCCCTCAGTGTATCACAACTGAAGGGAGATGATGTCAATTTGTCCCATTATTGGTGAAGTTAACTATCATCAGCTGGAAGGTGGTGTCTGCAAGTTATTCTCTTTCCCTTTGTAATTAGTAAGTATCTTGTGAGAAGGTAAGTTCAGACCATGCAAACACTGTTTCTCACCAAACCTTTGCCTCCCGGTTTTCGCAGTCATTCATGATTTCTGTCTTGTGTTGCTATAGTTGGTTGCTAGATGGTGATGATGATATTTCTATTTCTATCACTCCTTCTACATTATTTTGCATTCCACTTTAAGGAAAAACTCATTTCTGATTCATATCAACATGGTCTCATGGATTCCTACATTATTCTACATGTTAAATCCATTATTATCATTACTTGGAAGCTCAAATTGTTCCATTTTACTTGAAAAATGACATTTATGCAGGTAAAAATCAGCATTACTTATATGATCCCATTTTATAAATACATATGTATTCAACTGCGAAAAAAAATAAACAGAAGGATCTATACACCAACAGCAGTCATCTCTGAAGCAAATGTAACTGTAACTTTATTTATGCTTTTGTACTTTTGCATATTTCCCCAATTTTCTACAACAAATATATACAATTTTTGCTACTGGAAAATGTTAACAAGTATTTTTTTTAAGATTTTATTTATTCATCATAGATATATATAGAGAGAGGCAGAGACACAGGCAGAGGGAGAAGCAGGCTCCATGCTGGGAGCCCAACGTGGACTCGATCCCTGGTATCCAGGATTGCGCCCTGGGCCAAAGGCAGGTGCTAATCCGCTGAGCCACCCAGGGATCCCAACAAGTATTATTTTAAAAGTCACGTTTTGGTAGTAAAAATTGGTATATTCTAAATTTACAGATGGCAAGGGTATCTGGGTAGCTCAGCTGGATAAGTGTCCAACTCCTGATCTCAGCTCAGGTCTTAATTTCACAGTTGTAAATTCAAGCCCCACACTGGGTTCCACAATGGGCATGGAGCTTACTTAAAAAAAAAAAAATTTTTACAGGTGACAACTAAAATTTACCTAAAGGTTGACATGTTAAATGCATTCTTTCATCCCTTCAACAAATATTTCTTGAGCACTTCTATATACCACACACTATTCCATGTGCTGATCAAGGCACTTGGTCTTCCCTATTTTTACATTCAGAGAGATTATATTCCAACAGATTTATGAGGTTTTCACCAATAAAGAACACTCTACACATCAGGACAAAAAGGAAAAATTCAAAAACTGGCCATCCTTGATTTACCCTTTCTCTGTAAATGAGCATTCAAGCTCTGCCAAATTTTCCTTTGAAAAATTTTTTTTTAAAGATTTTATTTACTTATTCATGAGAGACACAAAAAGAGAGAGGCAGAGACATAGTTAGAGGGAGAAGCAGGCCCCATGCAGGAAGGCCAAGGTGGGATTCGATCCCCAGACCGTGGGATCATGTCCTGATCCGGGGGCAGACACTCAATCACGGAGCCACCCAGATGTCCCTTCCTTTGAAATTTTTAATATTCATTCCTTCCTCTATGTTCCCACCTTTCTGTAATTATGGTACTTTTTTAAAAAATATTTTATTTATTTATTTGAAATAGAGAGAGAGACTCCCCCAGAGTACAAGCAAGGGGAGCAGCAGAGAGAGAAAGAGAGAGAGAGAGAGAGAGAGAGAGAGAGAGAGAGAAGCAGACTCCCTGCTGAGCAGGGAGTCAGATGCAGGGCTGGATCCCAGGACCTGAGCCAAAGACAGACGCTAAACTGACTGAGCCACCCAGGCACAGTAATTACTTTTACTGAAACACTTCCCACTCCCAACTTTCTACCCCCTCCTCTAATCTCTCCTCTTATTAAAATCCATCAGCAATACAAATGTCAGCCCATCTCTCTAAGACATCTTTTCATTTTCTAACTCATCTGATCAAAAGCCTTGACTCTCAATTACCTACCACATCAAGGTGAAACATTCTGCTGGCCTTTGAAAACCATGCATAATTTGACCCCACCTCACTACCTAATCTCATTTCCCACTACACCCACATACACAATTTGCTCAAATAAGGCAGTTCTGCTCTGCCTTAAGCACAAACAAGCTATGATGGATCTTGCCTCCTCACATAGTTTTCTTCACCTGAAACATCATTCATTCTCTCTCCTCTGCTTTTCCAAATGTTAACCATCTCTCAAGGACAGCTCAAAATCTACCTCATCCCTATGGATAGCCCAGGGCTACTGCAGCTCCCCCCCCTCCTTCTTTGAACTACTTCTGTGCCACATAACTTACATCAAACTATTATGAATATAAGGTGCATACTTAACATGTATGCGTCTACATTAACATAATAAATATTTAATAAACTGAATCTTCTAATTTTATGAGTGGGAAAAAGACCTCTAATACATCAGACAGACTGAATTGCTTTCACCTTTCCCATGCACACACACTGCCACTTAGGAAATTAAGTTCCACCTCATAGTGTTTCTGGAACTATCCCATTCAAAGCTTTTCTTAACAGCATCTGAAAAGCTGTGAACAGTAGGTAACTTCTAAGGGGGAAAATAAATTCTAAAATTACTCGTTCAATTTGTCTTTAATAGAAAATAATTAATGCTGGAATTTCCAATAATATTAAAGGAGGGTGTGATATAATAAAGAATCCATCTGGTCTTCATCCCCACTCAGTTCCTAGCACAGAGTTTAAAAATCCCTTGGAATTAGAGTGCATGGGTGGCTCAGTTGGGTAAGTTTCTGCCTTCAGCTGAGATCATATCCTAGGATGGACCCCTGCATCAGGCCCCCTGCTCAGTAGGGAGCCTGCTTCTCCCTCTCCTTCAGCCTTTGCTTGTGAGCACTCTCTCAAATGAATAAAATCTTAAAAAAAAAAAAAATCCCTCAGAAGTTCCTGTGTGATAGGAGTGTCTTTTGTTATAGTCTCTTTCAATCATACTTGAGTTTATCCTAATGAGATGACCTATTAGGGAGAAGGGAGGGCCTAGATAGCTTCAGGATGGGGACTGGTT